CCCTTCCTTGTCGCTGGCGGCAGTTGCTTCCGGTTACCTGCTTCCGGCTGGCCGCCAACGAAGGCCCCATTGTCTCATTAGTCGTCTTTGTGCACTTTGCGAGGCTGGAGGCGGCCCGCCCACCCGTCCCGGTAGGGCCCCGGGGCGCCGAAGGAAGACGGCTCGGCGCACCCTACGCGGCGCTACCGGGGCGGGCGGGGTGGGGGGGGTGGGGCGGGGTGGGGCGGGGTGGGGCGGGAGGTGGGCTCACTCGTATCGGCCCGCCCCGGCCCGCCCCGCCTCGCTCCGCCACCCCTCCTTGCCTGTTGATAGCCTTTCACTTGTGGCAGAGCAGAAAGCGGGGACCCTGGAGCCCCCGAGCCCCGCGCCATGCCGCCCCGTCCGCCACCCCGTCGTCGACGGCGTCCTTTCTGGCTGCGAAACCTTGGTGTGACCCTGGAACCAACCCCTTGAAACCTTGCAAAGGTGATGCGGTGAGGTTCTGGATGGTTTGGGACTGAAACATCTGCCTGCCACCGCGCCTACCTCAGCTGGACCAGCTTCCGCGGGCGTAGCTTTGCCACCCTGTCCGTGTCGTCCCCTATGAAGCGCTTTGTAACCTTGCAGTGCTTTGCCGGCCTTGCCTGCTTGTCTGCTTGCCTACCGCCCGCCACCCCGTGCCCCAGAGGCCCCGCAGCCCCCGCTGGCCCCGCTGGCCTCGGCCCCGCCGCCCCGCCGCCCCGCTGCCCTGCAAACCCATTCACTGCCGTGTACCCCGTGTAGCCCTCCGAGACCCCGGGCCGGCCCGACCCGCCGGCTGCCCTCTGACGTCATCGCTCTGCACCGCTCTGCACCGCTCCGCTGATTGCTGCCGTTGTCCGGGACTGCGTCCAGGGCCTCGTCCAGCACCATCCCGGGACGGCCGGGGCCTCGGCCGGGGCTCCGCGCTCTGCGACACCGGATACGCCCCCGACAATCCGCCTGCAGGCCGAATCCAAACCGTGCTTTCGCAGCGCTGTCTTCACAGGGGTGCGAGAGAGACAGAGCGATATGTTCGGAATCAGCCGGCTGGCCGTCAAACACGTGCAAGGCTTGGCCTGGCGTGGCGCGTGGCCCCGCAGGGTGTTTTGCTAAGAGGCTCATATTCCCCTTTGCTCGCGTCTCACATTCATCTACGTCTTGGGGCTCTGCTATTGAACACGCACACGTGCCCACGGACACACACACACACACACACACACACACACACACACACACACAGACGCGCGCGCATAGCTCCGTACAACGCACTCCCCCACCTCCCTTTCGCCGCTTTCGCGTCGGTGGCGAGTGCCTTCACCCGCGCCTCCGCGCTGCCAACCTGCCGGCCCGACGGCGCCTCGACGCGCTCCTCCAGTCGCGCCAACCCCTAGGCGTGGCGCCCGGCCTGCGCGGCGCGTCGAGCTAGTCCGGCCTGCGGGGCCTGCGCTGGCTGGGTGCTTGCCTTGCTTGCCGCCTGTGTCGCTTCCCTTGCTGGGCTGAAATGAACGAAATGAATAATCGCACAGTTGGCGGCATTGATCGAAAAGAGGCGAGACGCAGTGGCGTGGCGCCGTGGTGGCCGCCCTGCCTAGCCCTGCCTGGCCCTGCCGTACCGCTATGCTGGGCCCCCGAGCCCCACGCCCCCCGCCTGCCCCCGCCTGCCCCCGCCCCCCGCCAGTGCACGTCCCTTATTGATCCACCCGGCCGCCGCGCCCCTCCGCGCCCCTCCGCGCCCCGCCGTCGGTCTGCCTCGTCTGTGTGCGTGCTGCGAGGGCCCCCGCGAGGGCCCCGGCGAGGGCCCCGGCAGCCAGGGCCCAGCACGTCCAGGGCGTCCCTCGCTCCGTCCCCCTCGCACGCCCGCGACGCCAGGCAGAGTCAATCCAGGTGCTCCTGTCACTGCCACGGGGCACGGCCTGGAAACAGTTCCCTCTCACTCACACACGCCCACACACGCGCACTCCCACGCGAGAGGCACTCTGGTTCATTAATCCCGGATCAGGGTAGACACGCCAGTCCCCTTTCTGCTGACCGCCGCGCAGAAGGTCAAGTCGCCGGGCAGGAATAGGAAAGACGGCCACGGCGGCCACGGCGGCGCGGCGCACAGGAGTCAGGGGGTAGCGGGCGGCGTAGAGCCGCGTAGAGCCGCCAGCGCCGTGCGGGTAGGCCAGCCCGCCGCGCCGCCGCGTCGCTGGGGCGGCCTAACCAGGGCCACAGGCCACACCGCGCAGGGCACAAGGCGAGCACAAGGCCTCCTTGGCCTCCTCCCCGCGGCCCGCGGACTCATTCCGAACATTCGTTTCGTCGCTCTGTCCCTCTCGCACGCCCACGAATCACGGGTCGAGTGCGACAGAGACGGAGCGACACTCCACGGCGGCGTCGCTCGGCGTCGCTCGGCTGGCGTGACACGGCGACGCCCCCCGCGACGCACGTCGCTCAGCCCAGCCAGTCAGTTGTGAACATGATTTATGCATCACTGTAAAACAACGAGGCGCGTCGCAGTGAACCCCCTCTCCCTTTCCCCGTTTCACTTTCCCGCAGCGTCTAGGGTGAATCCGGGGGGGGGGGGGGATATCTGATAGATCTGATGCCCGCGACCGACCGCTGTCGCTGGAGTGGAGTAGAGTGGAGTGGAGTGGAGTGGCGGGGTTGTAACTTCGGACGGCCACGAGACAGGGGGCGGATTGCTTGAGGCTTGCGGATGTGAACTAGAAACGCGCCGCCGGAGGTTTCAAGCCCACTGTCTTCGACAAAGGTCAAAACCACGCTCCTTTTTACATTCGTCGCGGCCTCTGGATAAGCAGGAACACACAGTGTGCATACGAAAAACTCTGGCAATTGCCCTGTGCGAGCGGGCCCTGGCGGGCGGGACGGCGACGAAGCCGGCAATGCCGTATCGACCTCGACGACCGCGCCGCAACGCGCACGGCGTGGTGGCAAATCCGTCGCGCGATCATGATGTGACTTGAACAGCCCAGCGTCGCCGCGTCGCCGCGTCGCCCACCGAGGCCTCGGTCGCGCCGGTCGCGACGCCGGCAAGTTGACAAGGCGCCAAAAAAATGGCGCGGCCCGGGCCATCCACGTCGGCGGCGTGCTTGCGCGGCTTGCGCGTCAAACGGTCGCCGTCCTGCAGGATGATTCCTAACAGTGCCGCTCTGTCTCGCTCGCACCCCTAAGGGAGGCCCCATGAGTGCGAGAGAGACAGAGCGATGCTTCGCCACCAGGCGGCTGGCTCTAAGTACCGGCACCAGCGCGCCAGCTGGGCACCGAGACGACCGGGACCGAGGCGCGGCACTGGAATCGGCTTGTCTTTACTGCCGCGCCTTCGGGCCTTCGGGCCTTCGGGCCTTCGCCTTGCCTTGGCTTGCCCGGCTGACGCGCTGACGCCGAGCGCGACTTCAAGAAGTGCCCCGGCAAGCCCCACCGCTCGCCCCGCTTTCCCGATTCATCCGTATTCATTCAATGAAGTGGACTCGCGTTTCCCACAGGGCGGTGCCTGAAGCCGTGCCTGCGGCTGTGGCGCCACCGCCAACACTGGGCGGCGCTTTGCCGAAATAAAAACAAAGTCATCGAGCATCGCCTGGCGTTGCCGCCGTTTGAGCGGGGCTTTGGTTGCCATGACGACGCTGACAGTGTAGCTGACAGTCGACGCACTCTTGGCGAGTCCCATACTACAGCAGGTCCGCGCTCAAGCCCATCCCGACCCATCCCAGCAGCATGTTCAAGTCGGCCGCAGACGGCGGGGGAACGTCAGACGAAGGGACAGTAAGCATCGTTCGACGCGCACGCACGCCGTCGGCTTCGCTGGCGGTCTCTGTGAGAGTGAGCCGCGGCTGTAGAGTACAGTGTGGTGTACGACGCTTGCGCTGCTGGCGAGTGGCATTGCGGGGGCTCGCGGGGAAGTCCCAATGCGCTCAGGGAAGGTCCGGAGGACACAAGGCCCATCAGTGAGAAAGCTCGGTGGGGGCCTTGGATCGAGGCAAGGGGTTGGTCCAAGACGCTCGACCCCGACATCGTCCTGGCGTACCAGCGTGAGGGACGGCCCGAGCGCCAAGGCCAACGCCAGCACGCCTAGGTGCGACTTTAATTGCTAACCACTGCCTTCTCCTGGCCAAGTGGGCTTCCGGCTGTGGGTGCGTTCGCGCTTCGCGTGTTCGCCTTCGCGCCCCGGCGGCGTGGCGGCCCGGCGCTCTGGTCTTAGCCGGTCTATGCGCGGTGGGGCGTGGCGGCGCGTCGTGGCGCTGCCGCGTAGCGCGAGCCCCTTCCCCGCCCCCTTCCCCCTTGCCGCGGTGCCGGTTGGCCGGTCCCAGGTCGCGTCGTGGACGTCCGCGGCGGGGAAGGGGTGAGGGGGCGGCAGGGAGCGGCATGGACCGGCGCGGCGAGCGCGGCGGGGCGCGGTTCAGGTCGCGTTGTATGCCGGGAGAGGCGAGGGGCAGGGGGAGGAGAGGGGAGGGGGGTCGCAGAGCGCGCCCCGAGCGGTGCACTGCAGCACCAGGGCATGCCCACTGCGCATGCGCGATGGCGCCCATTCAAACACCGCGTTTACCCCTTTTGCGCCATTTCTAACGGTCGGATCCGGACCAAATTCGAGAATAAAGGTCCAACGGCCAAGCCGAAGCCGTTCTCGGTGGCTTCTTCAATTACTACGGCGTTGAAACGGCGAAACTGCCAACTGCGTCAGTCCGCCGCTGTATCGATCCCCTGAAAATTCGAGAAAATGGCGGCCCGTCCGCAGAGGAGGGGCAAAGCAGACAGCTCAATTTTCCAGGCTTTCCCCTGCCTTTTCTCCCTCCAAAAGACGCCCCTATGCATTTTCCGGCCTAAACATGAGCGTTGAACGCGCCGAGAGGCTCACAGGCCCCTACAACATGGTTGACGCATTGCAGGTGCGTACCAGCCAATCAGAGGCGACTTTAGTTTGGATGTGAGCGGCGCAGAGCGGCGCAGAGCGGAGAGACGAGGCAGTCTAGTAAACAAGACCGCACCCACCGCCTATAAAGCGGTGTGCCTCCGCGCCCGGGAAGTAGTCCCTCGCCGTCTCGCACGTTGGACGGACCGTTTGACGTTCAAATCGGTTTGTGTGTGACTTGGAACGCGTGAAATTAATTTCGGGAGCACCTCAGACCTCATTTGACAGCTGCAAAGAGAAGACGCACTGCGGCTGGCGAAAAAGTCTCCGGCGGATGTATACACGGTGGTGATACTGCCCGAACCTCCATTTATCCGTGGGATTTTGTCGGAGCGAGTTCGCGACATTCGCGCCCGCGGCCGTTGTGTAGTTCTGTTCGAGAACCCGCGACGAATCAACAATGGTGAGTGGTTAGAAATACCCATCGTGGTGAAAATATTGTCCGTGAAATATCGGCCGATCGCCCTGTTGGATTATTTCCGTGCGACTGTGGTTATCCTCTCCGGAATCTGACTTTGAGCTCGGCCCGCTGACGTTTCGGGAGCCGCTTCTTGTATGGACTCTGCAGTGGTGTCGGGGGAGAGAAGTCCTAGTCTGACGGTTCTGTCACGGTGGTGGGCTTTCTGTTTCCAAGTTTGAGTCTGAAGCAAGCAAGCGACTCTGTGCGAATGGGCGACCGCTTGGACACCTAGGCTTGACGCCAGCGGGGCTTGTGCTCGCCCGGGTTCGACCTGGCGGATTTAAGGTTAAGGCGAGCCTAGGCGCACAGCGCATAATCAGAGTCAAATTGCGAGAGCAGGACCCGTCGGGCCGAGTGTGAAGTGGCAAGAGCTCGTCTGGCACCGCGCTGGACTTTGGCCGAGAAGAGGCGCTGGTCCGTGGTGCGTCAGCGGGAGCCAACGCAGGTGGTCAGAAGTGAACGGACGTCGCCTCTCCGCCTCGTCAGCCTGCACCGCCATCTCTGGGATACGTCTTGGATACCTTGTCAACGGCCGCCTTCGCAACCGCGGCGCAAACCGCCCCCGCCGCCCCCGGCCCGGGCAAGCAGAAGCAGGGCACGCCCGTGGAGAAGCCGCGGCGCCGCCCCCGAGTCGGAGTCGCTGCCCCGCGAGCCGCCAGCACCGCCCCCGGAGCGCCGAGGCCGCCAGCCAGCCGCCCCCGGCCGCCCCCGGCCGCCCCCGGCCGAGGCAGAGGCCAAGCCCGGCGGGGCCCCCGCCTACCGCCCCCAGGCCGCTGGCCCCAGCTCATCGCCGTGCTGCCGTGTCGGCGTGCCCCCGACGTCGCCGTGCTTGGCGTGCCGACCGAGCCCCCAGGCCTCAGCCCCCAGGCCCGGGTCCCTCTTGGGGTCCCTGCCCTCCGCAGCGAGTGCTCGTGTCCGAGGGCGAAGGGTCTGTTTAGGATTTGGCCCAAGCCGTGTGCTCGCAGTGCTGTGGGGTTGAGCGTGTTGTGGCGGCCGCTACGCAGTGCTTCGAAGTGCTACGGAGCCTTGCCGCACTCAAGGGCGAGACGAGTCGTGCTGACCTAGAGCCAGAGCCCTAGCCCAGCCCTAGCCCGGCCCACAGCCAAGCAGAACGCCAAGCAGACATGTCCCTGAACGTGGAGTCCCCGGCCACCGCGCCCAACTCGGAAAAGGTTGGACGAGCGTGTGTACTTGGTGTGCAGTGTGGCCGTGAGAGCCGCGAATCGCCTAACCGGACTAGAGTGTGGACCTTCTCACTAACTCGAGCCTGCCCGCGCAGGTTATTGACATGGATCAATAGGTAGTTGTAACAGTGTGGACCTACTAACCTGACCAATGTTTGCGAGTGCTGGTTTTGAGTGCAGTGTGAATTGGGGGGTGTGGCATCATGATGTAGTTTTTGCCATGGTGATTGTCCCATGTTAGTAAGAATCTAACCTCATACAGAAACTGTGCATGACTCTCTTGATGGTAATATTCATATTTCAAGTTACGCCATTCAGTGTTGTTTCTTCGCCGGGAAGCCTGGTGGCATTCAATGGAGCTTTCAGTCATTTTTTTTTTAATTTTGGGCGTATTTTATGACATGTCTCATGTTACAAGTTCACCAATTTTGGACACATCCTTATCATTGTAATAAGATTCCTAGTGTCAATGCACAATCTCTGAAGTTTGTTTTCAACTATACTGTTTTTGTCATTCTGAAGTTAGCATGGTTTGAAATGTAAATTCATTGAAGTGTTTGTATCAGTTCAGTTCCTTGTACTCATTGATGGAGTACTGAGAACTGAGTCAGTACCAGACTAGTTCTAAAGCAATCTGTTACTTTTTATTCTTTCAGGCCGATCAACTGACTGAGGAGCAGATTGCTGAGTTCAAGGAGGCGTTCTCACTCTTCGACAAGGACGGAGATGGCACAATCACCACCAAGGAACTTGGAACAGTCATGAGATCCTTAGGGCAGAACCCCACAGAAGCTGAGCTTCAGGACATGATCAATGAAGTAGATGCTGATGGTAAGTTTTGCATGAGTGTTCTGTCTTGTCAGTTTCTGTTTATTGAGGCCATTTTCATCAAACTGCTGTTTTGCTTCTGTAGGTAACGGCACCATTGACTTCCCTGAGTTCCTGACCATGATGGCACGGAAAATGAAGGATACCGACAGCGAGGAAGAAATCAGAGAGGCTTTCCGAGTCTTTGACAAGGATGGCAACGGCTTCATCAGTGCTGCTGAGTTGAGGCACGTCATGACCAACCTTGGTGAGAAGCTGACAGACGAAGAAGTCGACGAGATGATCCGTGAAGCGGACATTGATGGTGACGGCCAGGTTAACTATGAAGGTAAGTCGTCATTTTCACTCTACATATTGAATCTGCAGTCCTGGTCAGTGGACATTGTGTATTTGTGTACAGTTTGTTCTGTTTTCCGTGCCAGTACCTGAAGTTGGTCTAGGGGCACACTGATGCCATTTTCAATGGGTTTGGTTCTTGTAAATGTTTGTGTGCTTTGTTGCACCAAGCTGTGGCAGCTAGCCAGCAGAGACAGTTGCCAGATCCGCGCATGCAGCAGTATCATATATTGCTTGGCATTATGGGATTAATCTGAGGCCTTATCTTGTGGTTCTTTAATTGTTCCATCAATGATTGAGTGAAGTCATGTCCCATCCTCAACAGATCCTCTTGTTCCAATTGAGCTTTTGTAGTTGTCAAAGCAACAGCTGAGATTGGCATTTGTTCTGTGTGAAGCTAATTGTCCTGTTCAGATCACCTTTTAAAATGTTGAGCAAGGTTCATTGTCCGTGTTTAATGGATGATGCTGCAATGTGCATGGGTCTTGTTCATTCTGTTTTCTCCTCTTGCAGATTTCCATACTCTTGCTCAAATAGTTTTCAGAGGGTGCTCAGGCCAGGGTGCGCGAGCGCTTACGCTAGTCTCCCCCTCGGTTAGCCGGTCAGGGCAGGACCTTAGGTGGTCAGTGCTTTGAATTGGTTGGCGTTGCCTCGTAGCGGAATGTTCTGTAATGCACATGATGACCCTCAGTAGAGTGGCCACACTCTTTCACGCTGTGTGTTTTACTGCACAATATCACAATGGTAGCCCTCTTGTATGAAGGCAATGAATTACCACTAATTCTAGATAAGACTTCAATATTTCCTTATTGGGCTGCTTCTGTCTTAACCATTCAGTGAAAAACTCAGCATTCTGGAGATGTTTGGCCACTCTGTCTGTTAATTTCTGTTAAAAGTCTAGTCTTATTGTTTCTCCAATTGCCGATGGATTGTTTGTTCAGTGTCTTTCACTGTACTTGCTGGAAGGACATTTTTCAAGCTTCCTCGCAATTGATTTGCATCGTCATCCTATCTTTGTGCAATGAACCCTTGCTATGCATCGTGGTACCATAGACCACCCAGGGCGCCCCTTGTAGGACTATCTGTCCCTCTCCAAACACGTATTGTAAATGTTCTGCATTGGCAGCATACTTTTGATTCCATCAATTTGGGTTTAGTTACATGCAGGGTATTCTGGGGGATCATAAATTAGCTCAAGTCTTTCAGTTATTTTGGTGCAAGTTTTAATCAGTTTGACTCATTTAGTTTCACAATTGGACTATCAGTATGACTCTTTTATTTTAATATTACACAATGGATTGACTTTGGCATCTCAGCATAGTGGTCCAATAAATTTGATTGGAGTAGTTCTTCCTTTTTTAATTGCTGGGAGTTTCATTCAATGTTTCTGGCAGATAATTTTATTGCCTACAAGAAGCTAAGTTTCTTTGTAATTATTTTTATTTGTTTCCAAGTTCTGTTAGCACTATCTCTACATATTTCTCAACTCTCTTTTTGTATTGTGACTTTGTTACATTAAAACTGTTTCTTATAACTTCTTTTTAATCTTTAACCTAATCATGGCTGCATGATCGATTATTCCTCAAAGGCAATAGAATATTAGTTGGGTGGCTTAAATTTTCTGGCCATGCCTTCTGCTTGTTTTTAGTAGTTGCTCATGATGAAATCTATAGCATTTCTATGATTATGCTGGTTGGTTTCCACTGTAGTCTTTTGTGAATGTGGAACTATGCTGCTCCTTGGCCGGTTCCTTGAACTTGATTAATATGCTGTGTTTGCCAAAGCAGAACAGGTAACTTTGTGATGGGGTTCAAGTTAAATGTAGAGGGGGAGACTAATAAAGATTAATTATACCGGAACTTGACCAGAGCATTTTGTTCTGTATTGAAAAAAGACATAACTGCTTTCTAGTGTTCTGTTGCCTCAGGTGTTTAGTTCATTTTCGCTAAAGACAGAATAAAAGAGCATTTCTTCAAAATCTCATTGCGCCAGGAAGTTGAAGCATTAGGGGACAGGAACAGATTATGATTAAATCTTGATAGGTTTCTTTAATAAGTTTCTTGTATATTTTGAACTTATGGCTGCAATACTGATGACATCACGGGCTATTGTTGCTGTTCTTTCTAGGATCTGTTATCGAGTTTTTTACCGTTATGTGCCACATTTATTTAATTGTTCTTTCCCAGCAAGTAATGAGTCAGTGGAGTGGGAGTCTGACTTTGTCCTGTCGTGCAATGGGGTTTTTGTACAAATACAGCGTCGTCAGTGTTTGCATGACCTGTGTTGTAGACTTGTGCATTGCCTGTCTAGACCAAAATTTTATGAACAGTAAAAGCCACATTTTGAGTTGGTGGTCATGTTTTTAGATCTAATGATAATCCCCAACTGAATGCATTTGCAACTATCTATGGGTATTGCATAGCTGAACTCATCATTTGTGGGTTTTGCTGTTCCTTGACTTGAAGGATAATGATGTTAATCATAGTTTTTGCTTCTTTGCAGAATTCGTCACCATGATGACATCAAAGTGAAGCAAGTAATGTGATAAATCTGGAGTGAAGAACTATTGTTTACCAAGAAGGATAAATGAACCTGCCTGCATTTCTGCTTATCCATTCTGACTCTACTTGAATTGGAAATGAAAGTAGCTAAAATTGGAATGGAATTTTCATTTCATGTATTTGTGATTGTATGATCAATGAATTTTAAGGGGCGCAAGTTATTTGTGTAAGTTAATCCTTTTTGTAAAATATTTCCAGGCATGCAATTAAATGTGATTTTATTGGCCATCTTTTTGTGAAATTGTCAGTAAAGTATTCTAAAATTTAGGAAAAGTACTAGTTACTGTTTTTAAACAATTACTTCCAAGTTCTGATTTACTTCACTCGATTTTTGTTGTGGCCGCTCTATATGGCTCATCTTTCCAATCTGGGTTTTAGTTGTTTTTAATTAGCTTTGTGGGGATCAGGTAGGGATGCCACCTGTCACATTCCTTCGCCATTTTAGGAACATTTTAAATGGAGGTTTTACTGTGGCTGCTTGCGCAGAGCAGTGCGCAAAGTGGCTCGCAAGTGAGTGTGCGGTGTGCAGGAAATTTTGGGCTGGGTGTCTCAGTCTCACTCACATTATGTATCACTTCCTCCCTCCACCAACAGTTTAAAGATGTATTCGGTGAAATAGTTTGCATTGAATATAAATACAACCTTACATGTGTTTCTTCATTTGTGTCTTGTGATTTGATGTTACCTTTCCACTTACTTATGAGGAAGTTTTCTATCAACTTATTAAAATTAGCTAGTATTATGTTTGTACTTGATCATGTTGCTAGTTAAGGTAGACTATTAGATTCAAACTTCATGTGACACGAATGAATTAAGTAATTAAAATTAATTTGGAGGATGATATTCCCTTTGGGGAGTGGGGACAGCCCCTTCAGGACAGCCGTTGTGGCTCATCCTCAGGGGGTACGTTTAGAATCGATACATCTTAATTTGGGGTCTGTAACTTGATGGAAGTTGGCAGATCGTTATTTCACGTTATCGGCCGTGGTTCCCGAAGGCAAAGCGTTCTTGTCGCTGTTTAAGTCAATACCAGCCCAAATGCTTGAAGTATGTTGTCAATATTGGGTGTGGGAGGCAGGACCGATAATGGGAGAGTGACTCTCTGCAAATTTTTGTTCAGTCACTCACTCGCTCCTGATTTTAACATTTGGTTTGAACTAATGGTGTTACTGTAGTACCTACTTACTGCCAGTATTGAGTTCAAAATCAGTTTAATTTCACGTTTTAGTTGTCTGTTCAGTTGCCTGGAGAACCCATCTGTTAAGCCCCCTTTTAGACTAATGTAATAAACTCAATATTTTGTTTGTCTTGTTACTTGCTTTGTTAAATTAATTGCACCAAACATTCCTTGTCCAACCTGTCTCCAAAGGGTATCTCCATTCTCATAGTCCGTACTATTCATAAATGCATGTAATGTATCAACAATGTGTGAAATACATGTTGCTCTTTTAAATACTTCTCAAATCTCTAACCTTGGATTTAATTCCTGTTATAGTTATGATTAGTTTCAGTGTTTTCTATTTAATCATACACTTTGACATATCTTGTTTAAAGAATGCGATATCCTTTGGAGAACAGTGTAGAGTGCACACATCTAACACAAGTTCTCCTTGCACTTTAAACAATATGAATTCGCGTTTAGATCTGTTTGTTGCTAAACACAAAGTGGTGTACAGCAATTGGAAATAAAGATTCCATTTCCTCTATTCTTTTCCAGTATCTAGTTGATTGAAGGTCGCTCCTCTTATCCCTCCAGCTCCATTGTATCTGGCCTCAAACCAATCGAGCCTGGCACGTCTACTGATGAAAATGGGTCCTTAGGCCTAGTACCTAGATCATTCGTAATAATGGAAATAATGATCAAGCTGAAAAACAAAAATTTGCACTAAGCTAAAATTAATTGCTTGAGACAAACGGAATTTCCGAGTGGTGAGAATGCCTCCGTCAGATTTTTCGCTAACTTAAAAACAAATATCAAATAGATTGAATAAAACTAGAAGCAGGGGAAAGGCTGATCGAGTTAACGAGAAGATAAAATGGGGATGAGTTGGCCAACGCGCCCGGGGGGTAGGCATCCCATCGCACACGAGCGACTGTAGCTCCCCGCTGCGGCGACGGGTTGAACTACACGCCCCCGGCCGAGAAGTGGCGCACCCTGGTGGCCGAGGGAGGAAGTTGAGACGACACCGGACTGCCGGATCGGTGGTGCAGTATGTACTTCCCTGTTGCGCCCGGCGAAACCTGACATGAAAATTGGCGCCGGCGAATCGTTGTAGCGTCCTGCAAGGACAAGGACACCGCTCTTGGACACTTCGGCGCCATCCAAAGATCCACACGCATGGCTTTTACGATTCATCCTTCAAACAACGCTAATAAAACGCGTTTCCTGATTCCCTGATGCTAATACTCGATTCCCACGGTGAATCGGAAAACAGAAAAGAACGACCGACATGTCCGACTCGCAAATAGGCCAACGTGGAGGACCTCGACACATCCTTGGAAGGGGGGGGGGGGGGACACCTCTTGGAGGGGTCGAAGGAAAGGACCAGGGGCACCCACGGCACTGCCCCAGTGCCGAGTCGTACCCGTCCAGCACCGCCCTGCACCGCCCAGCCTCCAGGCTGATTCCGAACAGGGCCTCGTCGCTCTGTCTCCCTTGCACCAACAAGACGCTGCACGAGTGCGAGAGAGACGGAGCGACGCAGCCCGCAGCCCTCACCCTCGCGCTACTCTAGGCCTTATAAGGTGCTACTCGGCGGGCTGGGGCTGCGCCGGCCGGCCCCGTCCACCCCGTCCGCCCCGCCCCGCCGCGCGCAGATGGCCTCAAGTGCGAAGCCTGGTCGTCTTGGAGCTTGGAGTAGTCCACGGCCTGTGGCCGCCGTGGCCGCCGTGGCCATGCGACACGTGATGTGGGCTAGGGCGGCACGGCGCGCCGAGGCGCCTCACGTCCTGGCCCCACCGCCACGCCACGCCGACACGCCACGCCGACACGCCACGCCCCCCGACCACACCGCGATCCACGCCGTGCTCCGCGCTGCACCCGGCGTGAAAAAAAGCTTGTCATACCTTTTCAAGAGAGCGAGCAGCGAACACGCTTGCGCCGAGCAGCCTCGCATGACCACGGGCCTGGGGGCCGGGTGCTCGGGTTCGAATCCCCGCCCCGCCGTGTTGTTTTTCCCACTCTGACCTGTTAATTGTCTCTGCCCGCCTTGGCCCCGCGGGGCACACCCTCCAGGATTGTCCCCAGGCAGACCATCTGGATATTGCAGCCATTTTCTCTGGAAGGAAACTGGGGCGATGCTGATGGGGTTAAAAGGTGTGCCGGGGCTCTAATGGCAGAACACAGCGCGTCAATTATAGACAGCTCGTCGGCATTCTCCTCGTATTCCTGGGGGCCCTACCCCATTGTGTGCTCTGGCTGGCCTGCACACACACTAACACACAACCACTCACACACACAGAGGCAATGAAACAAGTCGGTGCGCGTTTGAAGCGCGTCGCTTTCCCAGGCGCCTCATCGTGTGAGTGCGGAGTACGGAGTGCGGTTCAGGGAAGTCCGAGTTGGGAGACGGTAAACACACTTTGCCAAGGCGGCGGAAAGAATGGAAGGAATCGCCGCCTTCATCAGAAAAGTGAGCTGCGTCGCCTTGCAGTGCCCTGCAGTGTGGTCGCTCACGTGTGGCCGCGCCGGCCGCGGCGTCGCGGACAGGAAGTCCGCCGTCCGCCGCCGTGGTGACGAAGTGACGACGAAGTGACGACGAAGTGACGACGACGACGGACCTGGGCGCTACTACTGAAATTTGTGAGCGAGTGTCGAGTGAAGTTGTTGGGTTTGCGTCGAGAGTGAGAGAGTGAGCGAGCGAGTCCGGGTCTAGGTCGCCGACTGGCGACAGCGCTGCGCTTGGCGTGGACGAGAAGGCCGTTAAGGAGAGACTACACGGCGTCTTGTAACGTTCGCCCGGCCCAGTCCCGCGCACGGCGCTGTAACTGCGCTGCAGGCTCGTTCCGAACGGCGTTCTTTGTCTCTCTCGCACCCCTTCGGAACGCCCCATAAGTGCGGGAGAGACAGAGCGACCAAAGTAGGCCGGGTCGGACTCGCACTGCGTCGCGATGCACGTTCGATGCGACGATAACTAGGCGACCCATTACGGTGTGATGATCGGGCCGTAGAGGCTGCCCCGCCCAGCCTGGCCGGCCCTACCAGCCCTACCCGGCATATCTCCCAGACTTACGCCGAGCGACGCGGACAGACGCGGAAGCCTGCAGTGTCGTTGCATGCACTGCCGCCGTTAGCCGGCAGATGGCGCTGCAGTCGAAACTTTTCGCAGATGGCGACGACGCGGTCAAGACGCGAAGGTGAGAGTGGCTGTGGCTAGCTGGCGCCGGCCATGTGGAGTCGCCTTGTCACATCTCATGCCACTACACCCTTCACCGCCATTGGCCAGCCATTGGCCAGCCATTGGCCATATCGGGGGAAACGAGTAAAACGACAAGGCGCGACGACGCGGTGCTCCCCCCCTCCCTCCAGTGCCCCAGCGCAAACTTCCGCTTGGCTTGGCGGAAGAAGTAAGAAATTTGGCGGCGACGCGGTGCCGCGACGCGTCTAGAATTTTGGCCGCCTCCACCGGTTCTCTGGCCCACTGTGCGGCACTCGAACCCGCCCCGCCGCGCCACTCCTCCCGAAGGTGGACGGAACGTAAATCAATCATCATCGGCCGGGCTAATCTATGTTGATTCGCCATGCAGGGCGAGGGGCCCCAAATAGAGAGGAGTCATCCTGATGCCGCCTCGCCGTCAAGCCGCACGCTGAGCCCGTTGAGTAGGACGGCGACCCGCCAACCCAAAATGTTTTGGACAGTGTCGGGCGTGCACCTGGCGGACTCCGCCTCGGGGCGGGGCGGGGCGGGGCGGGGCGGGGCGGGGCGGGGCCTGCTCTGCTCATCCGTGTTTGTCACGGCGGTCGCGCGAAAAACGTGGAGCGTGGCCCTGCAAGGCTGACTCCGAAGCGCCCTGTCTCTGTCGCACCCATGGGCCGTCTCGTAGCGGTGCAAGAGAGACAGAGAGATGAAACAACTCTCCGGCGTCGCTCGGCTGGTGTGGTGCTTTCGCGAGACGCAAGAGCTGACGCCGGCAGACACGCCGCCGTCGGAAAGAATGCGACTCCGCGGCCCGGCACTGCGAGGCACGGCACTGCGAGGCACGGCGCGGAGGGAAGCGAGGCGACGCTCGTGAATCATATTTTTCCGCGACGCGTCTCTCCGCCAGTCCAAGTGCAACGGCTGGGCAATCGCGGAGGTGCACGGCCGCGGAACGACCGTGCCGGCGGCACCGCGCTGCAATGCTGCAAGTCAGAGGAGCGCGATGGAGCGCCTGCAGGCTGCAGCACGGCAGCACCGCCACGGGCCGGCGTGCCGCGGGCCGGCCTACCCTCCCCACTGCAGGCGCTCTGCGGGTCCACCGCTGCGGAAAAGGACAGGAAGTCGACTTGTCGTTCGAAACGGCGTGGCGAGCCGACGATTCGATGCCGACACCTGTCCTCCGCCAACCTGCTGTAGTACCTGCTGGCATCGATGAGGGCAAAACAACTTGCAGCTGCAGTGGTAGCGGGCTGTGACATGGTGCTGTGGTGACACCCGAGTCCCCGTGGGAACCCGACTCGCCCGACTCGCCCCGACTCGCATCGGCTGTCAAGGCGTTAGCCTCGCCGCCGGGGCTGGCGGGGCTGGCGGGGCACGTGTGCAGCATCCCGGTCTGCCCGTCCGCCCGTCCGCGCTCAGACACACACACACAGGCACACTCACACGGACTGGGTCGCTCTGCACTTACTGGACGTGTGGCCCTGGGAGAAAACATTACCGCGGGCATCGATATGGCGATATGGGATCAGGTTCAATTTCCAGCCCAGCCAGGCGCAGGCGCAGGGAAGTGGGTCAGTGTGCCTCTTTAGTTTCAAGGACGTCCCTGGACCGGGGCCCGCGGCGCCCGCCCGGTGGACGCCAAGGACGTTACCGTCCACCGCCCTGGGGCCCTGAGGCAGCAGGACGTCGTCCTCCGCGTCCCTCGCGGACACCAAACCAGGATGGGTCCGTTTCGGCCGACCGGCGCGTCCCTGGAGAAGCTCCTTGCTTGGCCGCACCACGAGACACGTAACCAGCAACCACCAACCCCAATTAATTATCGTTCCCTCCGAAAAGGAATCAGCCACGTCGTTTCTGGACGACCTCCGACCCCTTCCCCTTGCCCTACACTACAAGCGCGCAGGTGTGAGTGTGTCGTCATGTGCACCCGTATCCTGCTCTATCCTGCAGACTGATTCCGAGAGTCGTCTTCGTCGCTCTGCCTCTCTCGCGCCCAAACGGTGCGCCGCTCTGCGAGAGAGTCCGCTGCTGCTGCCGCCTGCCGGGTTCCTTCCGGACCCGCTCCCCGTCTTCCTCCTCCTCGTCCTCGTCCTTCGCGCACGCAAGCAGCGTCAGCAGCGAGCCCGTCGGAAAGGAGCGATGAAAGAACAGAGCGCTTTGGAGCCGCGCCGCCTAACCGGCAAACCGCCTTGCGCAAGCTGCGCAAGCGTCCACAGTCGGTTCCGCCAAACCGCGGCCCTTCGCCCTTCCGAGGGCGGCGGCTAGGCGGCTCGGCGACTGCGGTTACCGCGGACGGGGTGTGCACTGTACCGACTGCGCCGCTGGGCCGGAGCGTTGGCGGGGCGGTTGCAAAATAGTGTCGTTCACCGCCCTCGTCAAGGTCGCCCCGCCCCGCCCGGCGCGGTGCGGGGAGGGGCGCGCCGCGCGACAGCGGCGACAGCGGCGACAGCCCGCGGCCCGGCCCGGAATTCGCGGTCATCCGAGCACGACGAGTCGGACCCGGGTTCGAGTCCCGGCAGAGGCACGTGCTTTCTCCGCTGATGTCGCTTTACGCACGCCAAGCGCTGTGCCGGCGGGGCGTTGGAGAACTCTCCCTTGATCTTTTTACCGCAGTCACTCAGGGCCTCTCCCCTCTCTCTGTCTCTCTCCTTATGGGCGACCGCGCGGCAACGGCCCGTCGTAAAGGTGGACGATGTGGTTGTCGGCCGAAAGCCACGTGGGATAAGTGGTGCACGTCGTCGGTCTGCGCAGCCCTGCATCAGCCTCGTGGATCTGCCGCGGCCTGCCTCCCCGCCTCCGCCGCCCGGTCAACTTCCTGGCTTTCCTCCCCGCTTGCCTCATAATCCTGCTCTTGAACTGCTCCCTTGAAGGCTTGCAGGCGTGCCAGGCCTGTCTACACACACTGCCGTCGTGGTCCCTTGGCAGTCCCGGACACAGTAAGGAGTTGCGAGCCGCCCGGTCGTTCGCGCTCCAGCATGGAGTCTGTCTCTCTCGCGCCCCTGCGGCCCTGCGGGGTGACTCTCGAGTGCGAGAGAGACAGAGCGACGACTGTTGGGAATGAGCCGGCTGATGTCGCCTGCCGCGGTGCGTCCTGCACGGCCGTGCGCGGCGTGCGGCGCACCTAGGGCAGTAAAAGAGCTGGTGCCAAAAGCGATACGGCGACGCGGTGGTGTCCCAGATCCGGGAATGCCCTCGCCAATGTTCACTGCAGCTCCACGAACAAAAATACTCTCGGACGGAAGAGGTGCTCTTGGCAGAAAAATGCTCCCGGGCGGAAGAAATACTCTGAGGCTCTCGGACCTTCGGACTTTGTCGCCACCCCACCTTGCGCGTCACGCAGAAGACTGATTCCGAGAGTCGTCCTCGTCGCTCTGTCTCTCTCGAACCCACGCGGCGCTCCGTACAGGTGCGAGAGAGAGCGACGACAACGACTCTGGGAATCAGTCGGTAGATTACAGCCCCGATTTGGGATTGGCGATCCGACCTCGCCGTTTCGTCCGTCAGCAGCGCAGTGGCGGCAGCGCGACAGGGGCGATACCAGCCACTCGACGGCTAATCTAGGTGCGAGTGCCAAGTGCGTGCATCGTGCAGTACCCGCCGTGGTTTGGGTTGCGGGCGTGGCGGCCGCGTCCGGCCACATCGACAACATTCTTCTCGGAATGTCCAAGTCAAGTCGACGGGACGGGACTGCCGGGCCCGACACAAACATGGCCCGCGGAGCCAGCGGAGCGCACGGCGTGGCACGGCGTGGCACGGCACGGCGCCGCGGGGAGCAGCCCACCCACCCTCGCACGGCGGCAAGGCTGCGCACGCCGCGACACTGCTCGGCGGAACGTGTTCGTGGGCGACTCTCCGCGGTCCAACGAAGGGGAGTCGAAGCGGCAACCTGCCCGGCGATGGGACGGGACGCCTCTCCCGCAGACCGCGCCTCGATCTCGATACTTGAGAAGCGGCGATATCCCCGTTCCCACCGCCATAATGCCTCTATCAGGTTATCCCATTCGGCGTCGGCATGATGTCGGCCGCGGCACCGATTTGCACGGCCGCCACGGCGATCCCTTCCCTTGCCGGCCCGGACAGCTTGGCGGTGCTTCGCGCCTCGCGGCTCGCGGCCCGGTGTGAATCAGCGTCACGCCGATTCGCAGCTGTGCCCGGCGGTGTCCGGAGGGGTGGGGTGGGGTGGCGGTTTGGTGAACGCCGAGCGAGCGGCCCGCGGCAATGGCAAAAACAGCCGGCGTTTGGTTTTCGGCTCGGCATTCCCCGAGGACGACAAGCACGCCCAGCTTTCGAGTCCCGCTGCCGACTCCCGCCGCCCCGTGATGTCACCGCCGGCCAATGGCGGCGTCCGCTCGGGGTCACGTGGCTCCCGACGGTGGCTCCGGCGGCCACGGCGGCCGGCCGAGCGGTGCCGAGCGAAGCCGAACGGCGCCGAACGGAGCCGAGTAGGGGGGCGGGTAGCGCTGCGCCGTCGGCTTGCCGTCGGCCGCCGCCGCGCCTCGCCGTCCGATTGTCAGTTGGCATTTCCCCGTGCAGCCTAACAGACGCGCCGCCCGTCGCGACACCCAAGTGCAGTCCAGTCAGTCCAGACACCTCTCTCTCTCGTCCCCCAGTGTCCGTTCGGCAGTTTCATGAGCGGAGAAGACATGGCCAACAACAGGGCAACCAAGTCTGGATTTGCCGCCGAGGCGCAGAGGAAGGTGAGCTGGGCTCCAGCTGGGGGTGGTTGTGGCGGTCCGGGACGGCCTTGCTGCGCGCCAGGCGCCGCGCGGGGGGTTGGTACAGCACCGCGATCTGGGTCACTAGTCCGGAGTCTGCGCTGGGCCTGGCTCTAGGCCTGGCGGGCACCCCATTGTGGGGCCCCGGCCGATTTGTTTTCGATCTGCCTGTACCGCCAGCGCTGCATGGGGCAGACACATCAGCCCGGCGGTTCGTCGCTCTGTCTCTCTCGCACCCGTACGCAGAGCCTTATGAGTGCGACAGAGACAGAGCGACGAAACGACTCTTCGCTCGGGCGCGCTGCCTTTGTGTTGTCGCCAGTTGGGCTTTTCTCTGACGTTTGTGGAGGTGTGTGTACGTGTGTGCGGGGCACTGCGGGGCCAAGGCAGGGTCGCGCAACAAGCCGCACTGCGTTCGAAAGTTCGAACGGCGCCGAACTCTCTCTCTCCTCACTGGAGACGGTCTCGGTGCGCGGCGCCGCGCCGCCTCGGACGCCGCGCTGGAGAAGCATGGAAATGAGACGATGCGGGTTTACTTTATTGAGTGGGTTGCGTGCTGCCTACCCCCCGTACCCTCCGCCCGGGCATTTACATAGTGGGCGTGGGTGGGTTTTGTTGTTGTTGTTTTTTCGAGGCGTCAGGAGAGGATTGGGGTACCGGAGGTACCAACACGACGGACACGCCCCACCGTCTTGCGTCACGAGGACGGAGAGGAGGGTCCTTCGCTGCGTCAACATTATCATATGAATGAGCGTGTGTGTGTGTGTGTGTGTGTTGTCATTTGGCCGTCCAAAGGGCGTCGCCGTTGTCGCTATCATGGTGTGAACGACGCCGTGCCGTGCCTGGCCGTGCCGTGCCGTGCCCTGGGTGGCATTCCCCTTGACGGACGGGTTGACGTGGACCTGGCGCTGCCCGGGTGGCGGCCGCCTGCGGGGAAGCTCCATGCCGGTGGGAAACCGATGGCCGATCGTCTTCCTCGCCAGCGACAACGGCCGCACTGGATTTTCCCACGGTTTCTTCCCTCCGAGTATGAAAATTTTCGACTTGGTGGCAATGGTATCCCCGCAGGGCACGGCGCCGCCGCCCGGCGCCCACGCGGCGCCCTGCTGGCCGCGGAGTGCCGCGGGCAGCATCGCCAGACAGCTGGACGGGCGCGGCCCTGGCTGTCCGGCATATTATCGCCGGCATTATCTGTTAATGGGTGACGGATAAGTGGCTGGATGTATAGATAGGCCATCGGCTTGGCTGGACGCGCGGCGCGGCGCTTGTCTGGACGCGACTGAAATTGTGACCGCGGCCGCATCGCTCCGGACAGTGTGCTTTCGTCGCCGGCTCTCTCGCTCGCACTATGGGGTGAGGGGCGGGGTCGAGAGAGAGGCAGGGCGACGCGAGCGGAGCACCGTTCGGAATGAAAGGTGCGCTGCAGCTGCGGCCGTCGTGCTGCCCCTCGGCCTGCTCGGCGTGCTCGGCGCTGCAGTGTGGGTGCGCGGTGCGCGCCGTGGCCGCTGATTTCCGACCGCGCTGAATGCTTGTCGGCCCCGGCCATAAATATGAAATATGGTCCGAGCAATTAACGGTGGTGTGCACAAACTTACACGTATGCGCGCTCCAGCCATGCTGACAGGATGAGAAATTCGCCAGGCAGCGGTACAGTACGCAGTGGGCCAGAAGACCGGTGGAGGCGGCCGAAACCCTAGATGCGTTTTGAGCTCCAGAGTCGCTAAACAGGGCTAGAACCGAGCGTGTGACCCCACCAGTGGATTCCTCGTTCGGAGAGCAATCCATTGGTGCGGTCACACGTTCGGTTCGAGTCGCATTTAGCGACTCTGGAGCTCAAAACGCGTCCGGGATTTTGTACCGCCTCCACCGGTCTTCTGGCCCCCACTGTGCGGCGCCTGGCGGCGCGCGCCACCGAGGGATCTCTCTTTGCTCCGCGCTGCTTCCTGACCTTTGTGGGCTCGGGTTCCGGATCGCGAGTCCCTTTTCCCTCTCTTCTAGGTTAGGTACTGGATGGGCACGAAGGGCTCGGTTTTGTCCTGTCGTTCGTCTCGCCGGATTCGAACCGGCCGGAGCCGGAGCGGCGTGGCCGATACCCCCCCCCCCTCGAATGCAGCCTGCCCCGCCGGTTTGCCCCCCCCCCCCTCCCGTTCTTTTTTTGTTGCCGGGCCCGTACCCGCTTTCAGCCTTCGGTCCTCGCACAGTGACCCATTTGCTGGACCAGCGTTGGGTACGCGACTCGCGGGGCGGGGCGGGGCGGGGCGGGGTCCCCAGCAGTGGCGTAGCCATCCCGCGCGCTTCCCAGAGGTTCAGCCGCGCGTTGGGCAGGGAATGACCCCCAGGCCGGCCGTGCACGCCGTGCCTACGCCGCGCCCAGCCTGGCTATGACATCACTTTAATCTTTCGCCCATCCGTTCCGGAAGCGAGGAGCGTTTTCATTTGGCGTGCGTCAGAGGCGCCCATCATAGCCACCTCGACGAGTGCCCAGGACGGCCAACAACGCCCAATGAGAAATGTCTTAGCCTCAGTCTCGCGTCTCGCGAGAGCTAAATGGTGTTTTGTTCCGCACAGTAGGCCAGGCGTCACAGTGTACCTCCTGGCCAATGTGAATTCCCGTGGGGCGCCGCGCGGTGCGATACTGCGGTGCCCATAGTCCTCGAAGTATTCTAGGACCCCGGCGATACCGCTCCGTGCCGGGCGCACGCTTTGCGGGGAATGTCCTGTACAGTTGGCGTCACTGCGAGATTACTTGGGCACGGCGTGGGCGGTGCTGGGCGCGTGGCAATCGGACCCGGAACACGAAATAGAATGCGCGCCGCGCGGTGTCGAACCCGTGCCCGCGCCGCCCTCGTCGACGACGAGTGCGAGAGAGACGGCCGTGAGGCAGGCCGCGCTAGCCGCGACAAAACGGAGGGATTTGTTGTGTCCGTTGGCGGCAGAGGGCGCTGGCTGGCTGGGCTGGCGCTGCTGATAGTCGTCGGAGTCGTTATTCGAATGGAAGGCAAGGCGGAGCGCGCACCGCGCACCAATGGCGTTGCCCTGTCATCCTGCGGCCGATAACACTCGACACTAATGGCCGTCGGCGCCTCACAGCCAAGCCAAGCCCAGCCAGGACTCACCTGGAGAATAACGTGGCCGTCACACACCACACACACACACACACACACACACACACACACACACACACACACACACACACACACACACACACACACGCTCACTCACACAAACACGCGCGAGAGCATTGACGGTTCCATCATGAGAGGTGAATCGTTTGGACGCGCTGGGGCCACAGACGCCGGAGTACAGCTTGAGTGTGTGGTTCTTTTCAAAGTCGTTTTGCTTGGGCCCCTCACGCCTCTGGCTGGCCCCAGCGCTCCGCCGCGGCGGGCTTTGACATCAGCCTACAGTGACCACCGTTGTGTGTGTGTGTGTGACCAGGCTGGGCGTTATCATTATCGCGGCGACACACTGCCCTTGGCAACGCGCTCCAAATGCCACGCCACGCGCTCGCCGAGGTCGCCAAATGACTGACTGTCCGCGGAGGAAAGACTGGAGGCGCGTTTTCTGCCGCCGAGTTGTCGGCAGTGTGGCCCACACTGTGGGGTTTGCCGTAGGGGCGGGGCGCCGGGGGCTCTTTAGCCGGGGCGGCCGAGGCTGAACCGGCCGACTGAGCTGAAGGATGGGCGCGCCGCGCGCCAGGGTGTTTGCTAGGGCATCGGTCAACAAGTTGGCTTGCGCAGACACGGCGCGACCTCGCTACCGAAGGGCTTCGGACCCACCTGCCCTGCCGGCCATTCGGTCGTCGAAGAGCAGGCCGGGATTTCGAGCAAAGTCGCGCGGCGAAGAAGCAAGCTCTGCGCTCCGACCATAGTCCGGGGAACTTGAATGTTTTGTCCGTTTTTGCCGGCGCCTTGCTAAACAGCTAAATTCTCTGAACGTGGACATCGTCGTGTTTTTCTTCCGCCGCGGTGTGCCGTGCTCTCGGGCTCCCTTGAGATAAGTACCGGCACGCCCCGCCCCGCCCCGCCATGCCGCGGACTGCCCGTTGGAACACCCGTTTCATATCGGTCGAGTATAATTCCAAAGGATAATGACGTGATCCGCGCGCCAGACGGTAGCTCGGCGGGGATATTTCCCGCACAGAGTACCAACGTTTCTCGCCGTGAAATTATGTTTCCATATCAGCAGTGCGGGAAATTTCCCGCCCCGTTGACGGAAATTTCCCTTGAAGGGATACGGTTTCTGTGTGTGGCGGGTCGCAGCACAGTGGGGCGCCGCGGGCCACGCCTCCGCCGCCACGCCCCCTGGCGACGTGCCCTGGGTACCCTAGTGGCGCGGTGCTGTACGGTGTAGTGGACGGGGCCCTGCTTGGGGCGCGGCTTGGGGCGCGGGGCGTCGTAAGTGCGCCACAGGAAGCAGAAGCCCTACAAGGGCAACAGGTTGCATACCAAGCGGGCGGGGCGGGGCGGGGCGGGGCGCGACGCGCGTTGCATGTGTCCCCGTTTTTTTTGAGCCGCTCGGATAACACGAGGAATCACCCATTCAATCGGCCAGGGCTCGCCGTGAAATCCTGTTACACGAATCCAAGGGGCTTCGGGCCGCGCCGACGGCGTGCCGCATTGGGGCCGCGTGGCCACCGGCGGCCAGCACGCCCTCCACAGAGGGGCGTCCGATTGGCCACTCGCAAGCCTCGCGCTCGCGGGTTGCCCAGCCACGCTCTACTGACAGTGCAGGAGGCGGGTTTGTCGGAATGGGCTGCTTTCGAGATGAGGTCGGAGACTGGCCGGCTTGGCGGGGCCGGCGGGGCCCCTCGCGGTGCGCGCCTTGTCACCCACCAGGGCGCCGCCGCGCTGCGCCGCCGATCCATATGGCTGATATGGGCGTGGCCGCGTGGGGGGGGGGGGGATAGCACGCGGATAGCTGTAGCGGATAGCGGTCCGTTCCCATAGCACTGCCAGCATTGCCCGGCATTGCCTGCGACGCGGCTCGCTTGCCGCGCCAATCGCAACAGGAATTCCCATTCTAATTTGTGCGGGGCTAACAAGGGGATCGGAACGCTTTTTGCGGTGCAGTGGGCCGCACGCCCCAAGCCGAGTCGGCGGCCCGCTCGTGCACTGCCCTAAGGGCGGCGCGGTCTCTCCGGGAAGTTTCCTTCCTCCCCGACGGCCCGACTTGTTGCACTGGCTCCTGGCCTGCCTGGCCTGCCTGGTCACTCACCCCGTCCGTCGCCGGGGAGCCCAGGCCAGGCCGAGGCCCAAACGGCCAAACCGAACTGGTCCAATAACGTCCAATTCATCGCCTGGACGGCGGGGCGGGGCGGGGCGGGGCGGAGCCTGGCAGAGCTTGCTTGTACCGCCGCCGGCAGAACAAGGCCTCTGCCCCGCCCCGCCCCGCCACCCCACGCATGCCTGTGCGGGCGCGGCGCCGCGGCGGCCTGGCGAGGGTCTACACCTCCTCCGGGGCCTAGAGACACTCTACTTGGGTCGTCCTGGGCAGCTGAGGTGTACTCGCTGCGACTACACTGTATTCTTCTGCCCCCCGCCAGGCGCCATGGCCCCTTACGGTGGAGGCAGGGTAGGCCGTCCCGTCGAACAAGGGTGCACCGGGACGGCCTACCCGCCAGGCGCCCAGCCGGCCCTTGTGGGGATTGAAGTCCCCGGCCGGGGCACTGTGCTTCTGCCAAAGAGCAGTCCGTTTTAGTCGCTCTGGTTGGAAAGACGGCGCGAAACCGCGGGCCTGGTGCGCGCCGACGACGTGACCGCCTGTATTCCGAGCCGACGGCTGAGGCTTGCGGCTTGCAGTGTGCTTGCAGTGCCACTGGTGCCGACGCGACGGCGCGACGGTTTGCGTTCGCCCGTTCGCCTCGGCAGGTGGTTAGTCACGAAGCGGGGGCTGTCCTTAAACGCGCCTCGCACGCACGCACGTGGCGCGGCGAGCCGGGTGTGCACCGCCACTTTATTTTCGACGTCTGTGATTCCCGCGCCAATCCGAGCAAGTGCGAGCTTCTGCACGTCGCGTGTGATTATTCCCAGCGATGGTCGTGCGTGACGGCGGCGGTCTCTCTCGCACCCCCGCGGAACGCCCCGCGAGTGCGACAGAGACGGAGCGCGACGCGGGTCTGCCGAGTTTGGCCCGGCTGCGTGCGAAGCGCCAAGCCAAACAGACGCCTGTGGAAGGCCAGGCCGGCCAGGCCGGGGGGCCTCGGCAGAGCCGGCCGAGAGGTTCCGGACGCGGACCCGGCGTGCCGGCTTGGGCCACGTCACCGCATGACATCATATTGGAGCCGCCGCCCCCCGCCCCGCCCCGCCGCCTCGCGCCAAAGACGCAGCTAGGACGCCGTGCCGGCTGGCAAACCGCGGACCCAGCCCCCCCCCCCCCCCCCCCCGCCGGGTCGGGTGGTGTGGCTGGGCTGGCATTGCTACGCGAACGACGCCTTGCCTTGCGATGGTGTTCAGCGGACGACGAGTGCCGGAGGTTACCGCGGGGTCGTCCGTTAGCGCGCGAGCGGCAGCAGGAAGGGGGAAGTCCCTGGTTCGAGTCCCAGCCAGCGCACGTTTGTTTGCAGCCCTTTAGCGGCCGGCTGGCGGCGGAAAGGGCGGGGGCGGGGGGATTTGAACCCGAGACTCGATTAAGTGACCGGCTCTGTCTTCCGTTCCGTCCCGTCCATCAGTGCGCCGAGGGCTGTGGCTGATGAGCGAATGGCCGGCGACCGTGGCGAAGGCGAAACGGTCTCTGCCGTTCCCGGGACATGTACGGCCGTGTGGGGCCGCGCAGGGTAGGGCAGGGCCTGGCTGGGCCATAGCCAGCCGCAGGCCCCGGGGCCTCTCCGCAGCCTCTCCGCTCCCCGTGGCGGCGTGGCCCTGGACGCGCGCAGGCGACGTTGGCGACGTGCGGCTCGACGTGAGGCACGCTGCCGCCGCCGAGGACGTACTGCAGGCACGGCTGGGCCTGGGCACGGCCGAAAAGGCCTGGACCGTGTCGCGTACACTGTGCGAGGACCGGGCAAGGTCTAGCAGTGTTTTTGGCGGTGTGGTGGTTCTTGTGAGGACTGCGAGGGCGGCGTCGGCGTGGTCTCTGGCGAGGTTGACGCGCGGCGGCGGCGGCAGCGACGGCAGCACATCAAATTCTGGGGCCGAACGGCCGCGCAGCCGACTTAATGTGGACTTAAGCCCCCCTCCCCTCTCCCTGCCGCCAGGGACCGCCGTCGAAAGGCCTCCTCTCGGGCACTGTCGGTCGGGCACTCTGGCTGGTCCTGGTCCAGGCGGCGGCTCGTACCCGGCTCGTGCTGCTGGCTGTCTCTCTGGCTCCTTGAGTGCGAGAGAGACAGAGCGGGCCGCTGGTACTCGGCCGGTACGGGCTTAGCCCACCCTCCGCTGGAGGCTCCAGGGGCCCAGGTGCCGCGCGGCAACCATGGCAACAGCGCGGCGGGGCGAGGCGGGCGAGGCGGGCAAGGTGCCCGTGGTGCGGGCCGGGCCGGCTGCCGTGGAGGTGCCCGTGGTGGCCGAGGTGGCCCAGGCCCAGCCCGCACTCGGACCCACCCAATGGAAAGGGCCTCGGCTCGTGCGCGTTTCGGCCGTTGCGGGTAGAGGCGGGCGGCAGCCCCGGGGACAGGTGCACCCGGGCTGGCCTCCCCCGCCCCGCCCCGCCCGACACGCGGCAACAGCTGGAAGACGAGCAGGCCGATGATGGGGTTGGTCGCGCACTGTTCGCGGTGCCACGCGGTGCCACGCAGTGCGTGCGGGTGGACTGCGTTCACCACGAGTAACTGTCGGGGGAGTAACGTCGCGGTTCCGTGGCACGCGTCCACCCCTCCTCCCCCTCCCCGCGCACCGCCGGGCACGGTGGGCAGGACCAGGAGTAGGAGTCGGCGGTCGTTCGACAAAAGCAGAACGAAACAGAACGCGCGTGCTAATATGGCGTTGTGGTTTTGCTAAATGAATGGGCGTGCTGTGGTGTCTCGTCCTGCCAGGCCCAGTCGGCCCGGTCACCACGCGACCAATCAATGACGCTACGTTACACACTCGGCAGGGCACGGCACGGCACACAGCCCAACCGGCCGCCGCTGGCTGGAAATGGTAAAGGAAAACGAGGTGCAGGCAGCGGGCAGGACTTGGCGCGGTGTGACTCACGTCTAGAGAGCTCTCCGTCTCTGTCTGCGACACGCGAAACGTGATTGAGTCGGCGGCGGGGCTACTTGCACTGCCAGTGTTACGTACAAGGCGAGCAATGAGCCCCACGAAGCACCGCTACGCTGTTAGCTGTTACGTGCGTGGCAGTGCGTGGCTAGCCGGCTGCCACCATTTGTCCACCACCTGGCCTTGTCGGGCCTCGCGATAAGCGATAAGCAGGCTAGCGCGTGATAAGAAGGGGTTGCGTTGTCACCGCCCCACAGGATGTAGCAGCGCGTAGCAGCGCGTGATCCCTTACAAGGGAAGGACCGTGTTTCCGGGGCGGTGCGCAAGGCGCTGCGCCGTGCGCCTCCACGTGGCACGGCCATGGCGCTGCCCAGCCCACTCGCGGGCCTAAAGGTCAGCCCTCGCGCTGTCTCTCTCGCTCCCGCTGCGCGTCCTGTGGACGTGCGAGAGAGACGGAGCGACGCAGCACTGGCTTGCAATGCGCCTGCTCCTGGGGGACACGCGCCGCGAAATATTGCCCCGGCACGATGCTGCTCGGGGCTCTTCTTCTCCTTCCCGGGGCCTTTTAAAGGGGACACACTGCGAGTCGCCCGGTATGAGTTGTCGGGAGCGTCCCGAACTGAACCGAACGAACCAACCGCCTGGCTGGCTGACTGGCTGGCTGGCTCGCCGGCTGGCCGGCCGGTCGCGGGTGCCTCCATGTATGGGCAAGTGAACGGTCCCAACGGTCCCCAACACTCCTCTCTCCCTCCCCCTCCTTCTTTCTCTCTTCTCCAGTGCAGTGGGGCCTGGAGCCACCTCCGCCCACCTCAACTCGAGGTGAAATTGGGACGCGTTGGTCTTGAAGGTGGCCTGGAGCTGCCTGGATGGTGCCCGGCCTTGTTCAATAAAGCAGATGAATGGATGTCGAATAACTTTAAAGAAACGGAGACACGCAGGCCACTAGGATCGCCTCTATACGATGGGACGCTAGTTGGTTAAATTCAAATGACTGATGACACTTGCCTTACTCTTTCCATTTTTTTTCTTTCCAGATCAACAGCAAGTACAGTGAAGAGCTGGCTCAAGAATGCCTCGAGTGGATCAAGATCATCACCGGGGAGAACTTCAACACATCTGGCGACATGGACAACTTCTATGAGATCCTGAAGAACGGCACTCTGCTCTGCAGGTGTGTCTCTATCTGCCCATTTCCCTAACCATTTTGCTAAGGAAACATTGACTTATAAAATCTGCTTGCAGGATGGTGAACTGCATCCAGCCTGGTTCAATCAAGAAGATCAATGAAAGTCAAATGGCATTCAAGTGTATGGAGAACATTGATGCATTCCTGAAGATGGCTATTCAGATGGGAGTTCCTCCTCAAGAAACTTTCCAGACTGTAGACTTATGGGAAAGGCAAAACCTCAATTCTGTGGTCATCTGTTTGCAGTCCCTTGGACGGAAGGTAAGATCTAGTTATTTTTAAATTGATTTTATTTTATGAAATTTTGTATTGATCAACACATTTTATCCCTTCCTCAGGCGCACAACTTTGGCAAACCAAGCATCGGACCTAAGGAAGCTGAGAAAAATGTTCGTCAGTTTACCGAGGAGCAGCTGCGCGCGGGTCAAGGAGTCATTAGCCTTCAGTACGGAAGCAACAAAGGGGCTAACCAGAGTGGAATCAACTTTGGCAACACCAGGCACATGTAAAATGATAGATCCAGTCATTCTGTTGAGAAACACCTTCATTAGATTAGTTCCAGATATTGCTACTCAGACCTTAGATAAAAGAGAATTGCCAGTTCGAAGTAAAAAGTTAAATATGGCTATCGTGATAACTTAAAAAAAGATTGGACTGTGAAAAAGAAAATTTTGGTGATGAGTACGATGGCTGTTGTTTCTATTTTATGACTTATTTTGCTGTCTGTTTACTCAGCTTTAAAATTTAACTTGCAAAATTAGAAATACTATCTCTTTTAGTATGATAAAACTTGGAAATGCTGTTTGGTTTGTGGCACAAACTTCATCAGGCTGTGACTAAAAGTGTGGTCTTTCCTACTAATATTTTTGTAGAAAATGTTTCTTTTGCCACTTACAATCCTATTTTCATAGAAGCTTCAAATGAAATTCCATTGATGCTTGTCAGATGACTTTTGGTGAATATACTAGAATGTCTTCATCTCCTTAATCATTATTGATGATAATGAAGTGTTTCTCTACTTGTTTTGTAAATGCCTAAAATTTGTATGTTCTGCCCGTATTATGGTTATTTATTTTTAATCCTATCAGTTCATAACTTTTGTAGCCCCTAATTTTACTTTCTGTATTGCTTTGGGTAAATGATGAGAACGCACAAGGATTGGCAGATGGCCATGTCAATACAAATATGTGCCAATTATTCTAGGATTTATCTTCTTTTGAAATTTTTGTTTTCCTGTATTTGTATGTATATTATTTTGTACTGCCTGTTGGCTTTTATTTTTCTGTTTTGCCCATGTGACTACTGGATAGCTGCATGCTTTCTGTTAACCTTTATTATTTCTTTATTATTTCATGATCCCATGACCTTCATTTTCTTCCTTTATTGTATGAAGCTGATTGGTGCTAGAAAGGTTAATCTACTTCAATGTGGAAAAAAAAAGTTTTTAAGGTATAGACCAGACCAAGACTGGAAACTGATAGAATCAAAGTGACAAAGTATTCTCTATAGTTGATGTCTTATTTTTAGTAGAACTGCTACCGATAAAATACATTCCTATGTCTTCAGAGTTCCACGATGAATAAAAAAGGGAAATATAAGATATTCATGTACTTGAAAAGTGGTTAATCCAGAATCCCATCCCACATCAAAAATAATACACAAACCAAAACTGAGAATTTTTTTTTTTAAGGATACTGCTATTTACATAAAACCATATCAAACAAATCGACATTACACAGGGAACAAAAAGTCAAACTAATCTCTAGATTTGAAAGCAACAGCTAAAGAGAGAATGGGTTGAATGGTAGGTTGTGATTGGGTTTAACTTTTCTCCGTTGCTTTTCTTCTTCCAATTTCTTGGCACGCTTCAACATTTCTTGAACGTCTTTCCTGCAACAATCATTGATGGAGAATGTTTAACAAAGCACTTCACGCTTGAATTTGAGGGGGGAAAAAGTCTGTACCAACCTAAACGGAGCAATTTGCATTTCATCTTCTAACTGGCAGTCCACAGGTTTAATTGGTGTCACAGGCGAATAAATGCTTCGTCTAACAATCGAGTCATACTTGCCTAGATCTTCTCTGAGTTTTGCCACGGAGGCTGCTGGTATATCAAACTCATACAAAAAATAGCTGGAATACAAAGAGTTAAAGTTAGATGCAGCTGCAAGAATACAAAGTAGCACTGAAACAAAGGGAAACATCTTACTTTGCTTGTTTAATCTTCTGGCCGTGGCTTGTCATCCTATATGGGGTGGGGTTCAAGCCCATGTTGTTGAGCTTCCTGATGATGCCCCCTTCTTGAAATATAAGATTAGCAGTGGTCTTCAATGCTTGTGCCAGTTGGTCCTAAAAGAGAAAATCGCACAGAAATATAATACGGTCCAATAAAAGAAAACTTGATGTTCATGAATGAAAGCTTGGTGGAACTGTTCAGGAGCCACAAAACATAGAAACAAATAATGATTTAACTCACCCTTGGTAACACTCGATAAAGAATGGCTAATTCGTAGGTCGGCATCTTGACAGACCAATACTTATGAACCGGAGACTTATTTCAACATAAAACCCTTCAGCTTAACCTGTACAACATAAACATCGTGCATTCACTCGTCTGCTGGGTGCTGGGATTCGGAGAATGAAAAATTACGATGCGCGCTCCTATGAAAAATAAATATGACCTAAATTAATTTTCGGATGCAAAAAGCACAGCTCTCGACCAACTAGCTAGTATTTGGAATTATCTCTGGAAATAGAGTCCTCGGCGAAGCCTACTAACTCTTAGTCAACACATGTTTCAATTTTAATGTAGCCAGCGTTGGGCTAGTCCTTCAAGAGTCCAAAAGGGAACTGTCGGGGAAGAGATTTGTGGGGGTTCATATTTACCTCATAAAAACAAGAGACCTGATCAAAAATGTTTTTCTAATTTTATTAATAAAATTTTTACAAGACAATTACAAATACACATGCAAACAAACATGCTAATGGTCACAATTTATACTGTAAATCATTTTTACTAGTTTATAGAAAAAATGAACACATCATCAGTCAACTTATGGGAATCATCAACAATAGAGATCTTATTAAATAATGATGGCAATGACAAACAACAAAATATTTTTAGGTCCTCCTTGTTTTCTTCTTTCTTCCAATAGCTTCAACAGTAGCACCATCTGAGTTATCTGGTGTGTTATCAAGATCCCTCAAACCTCCTTTATCACGAGAAGATTTTTCTCGAGAATTAGGTCTGTCATTTTGAACAGAACCGTCTCTTGTTAGCCTTTTGAAAAGTGTACCTTGAGAAAATTGTTTTATACTGAGAGCAATACTGTCCCTTTTGAAGTATGAAATGAGAGCGATAATAATGATGGGAAGGAGGAACATTGATCCTTGGTTGAGGTCTTGATCAACAAATCTGGGAATTGGTTCAAATGAGAAAGGAACATAGTGATAAGAAACATTGGCATGGAAGTGGATTGCCTGATTTGAGTAGTCATATGCAGATGGAGACAGAGATGATTCCATTTGCAGAACATAGCCACTGCCATCTGCTGGGATCAGGGGGAAGTGAACTACAACACCAGCAGGGAAGAAGTCATACACTTTAGCCCCCTGTCCTCCGACAATACTATCCAGCCTGGTCACATGAATGGGTTGCTCCGGTGTCTCTTCGCGGCACAAACGCAGTTTCACACTGCGAATTTGCTCCACAGTGTTAAATGAGGTACGCACAACAGCAACTACTTCAGTTTTGGCAAGGGGACGGAATGCAATCAACCTCAAATTTTTCACATCACTCTCTACAGCCTGCAAAATAGAAAAGGTGGTAGGTATAACTCAGTGACATCAGACAGAGAAAATATGAGGCATGAACATTTCATTTCCATTACCTGTAGAGGAATATTGTCTGGTGTAGCTCGGTAAATATGTTTGTTGGCCTCAGCACCTGGCTTAACTCGTACAATGTAATTGCACTGAAAAGTAATTTTAAAATATTATGATCTTTGCTTAAAAATAAGCAGGTACATTTAGGAAGAAATATCAACAAAGAAACTCCAAATATCTTTCTGAAGAAGAAAAAAAAAGGACAATGGAAAATGTCATTTACCTGAGGTTGAAGACCTTTGATGCGGAACTGTCCAGTTACTTCAGTAATGGCTTCCTCCTGCAAATTGGAACACTTATGCCTCTCTCTATCGACTCCAACTGCTTCTACCAAAACTCCTGCTTCCGGTTCTTTGCTCAAGGAAGTCACAGTACCATACGCACTCCAAGCTACACGATCTCCCCTACAAAACAAAGTTTTAAAGAGCATGAATTGAATGCTTGAAAGGAAACAACCAGGTCTCACTAGCCAGTGGGTGATCACTTACTCAAGTTTAACATTTACAGTGTCTCCTTCCTTCACTTCAAACTGTAGTGCAGGAGGCTCAAAGCGGTACTCCTTCAACAAAGGTCGCAAATAGTACTCTCCAGGGCTCAGAGACTTGAAGGAAAGTTGCCCATCAGCCCCAGTTAAACTATTGCGTCGGTATGATCCACCAGAAACAGACAGTAAAACTCCTTGTAAAGGCGTGCCATCTGCTCGGTCAGTTACCACAGCAGCTATTTCAGCCAGCTTTCGAGCAATGATTTTATTCTTGTCATCAGGTCCAGTCATTACATAGCCTTCCTTCTCAGCAGAAACTCTGATGAAAAATTCCAAAAGTTAAACAACAATTCCTACCAAGATCTAGGAAAAATTTGATTTCTTTCAAATTGTACCGGTATTTCTGTCCAGGCTGGAGTGGACCAATGCGGTATTGTCCTTTGGAATCAGTTTCAGTTTGAGTAACAAGTCTCGGCTCTGAAGCTGGATCTCCCTCTTCTACAACAGTAATAGTAACACCTCCTAAAGCTGGAGTAACCTGAATTTTTTAAATTAAAAATATCAATTTTAGAGTTCTTAAGAAATATTTTTGGAAAAAATTAAAAGAAAAAAAATGATATAATTTAAACACTATACCTCTCCAGAAATTACTTGGCCTAAAAATGCTTCAATATTGAAGACATTATCAGCACAGTCTGTGTATCGAGGCATTGAAACTTCCTCAGGTTTAAACAGCATGACTGCTGACTGTGGAATAACCCTGTAGTCTTCATTTTCCAAAGCCATGATCGCTACTTCATAATACCACTTCCCATCCTTTTGTTTTGCTTTCAGTGGTCCTTGCCTGTCATACAAGAAAAGTAAAAATCAATGGAATGATGAGCAGAGAAAACTGCATAAGACTTCTTCAAGTACTTACAGCTCTACTAATGATCCATTATTGCCCTTTTCAATGCGAACAATCAAGTCATCCACCTGTTTGCTTGATTCCACGAATCCTGCGACTGTGTGGCCGATGGCTGTTAATGGAATGGGTCTGACAGGATCTTTAGTACTCCACAAGATTGTGGTTGGCTCCGCAAACTTGTGACAACCCATGCCATGAATGCGGTATGTGCCAGCTACAGGAACACAGAATCTTGAAGCTCCCTTTTTAATTGGCACATTATTTTTGGCTTGCTGATTGGCTGCCTCTGGGACAAGTTCATACGTGACCTGTAGTTAATAATAAACTTGTTACATTATGTTCCAGTTAATCGATAACTTAGGCTGGAAATATTGCTACTCACAGATGCATCATGAGAGGACAACACATTCACAGCAAAACCAACATGCTTGAAAACAGGAACAGTGACATCTGCAGTTAAAACTTCAATTTCATGCTGGTTTGTTTCCCAGCACCAATCATCTCGAATGATTTTCACATGATAATTTCCCAGTAAAACCTCTTTTATTTCATATGAGTTATCTTCTGAAAATGTACAAAATATTATGATAGCAAACCATCATTGACACTATGAAACAATCCAATAGCTAAAATTAGAAAAGCCAAACAAACCTTTTAATCTGATAGTTTGTTCTTCAATTCCCGGTGAAAGAGGCAGAAGGCGGATGCTAATATCATCACAATTTTGCAAGCAAGTCACCTTTCCGTGAACAAGTGCTTTCAGTTGAGAAAAGTCATTGCCTACATTCACAGGCTGATTTATTACTCTCATTTCTCGCACCAATGGAGCATACTGCAAGCCCTTAGCCTTCTCTTCCTGAGACATTTGCACACTGGCGAAATATGTTCCTGGTTTCAAGTGGAAACAGTAAAGACCAGCACTATCTGCCTCAGCCCTGTCGATTATATTTGAAGCTGCCTTGTCACTACTGAGTAGAACAGTACGAGGGCGGTTATCTTCTAGTCGAGGCGGAGTGATACGTCCACAAACTTCAAAGCCCCATGGAATTAAGTCCGGAAGCTGGGCAGAACTTGGACTGACTTTGATGGACAATGATGAAAACCGAAGTTTGTCTGTTGAGCAAATACAAAGCATCATCAGTACCTTCAAATTAAAACCATGACATTCAATCAGCGCACAGAGTTTATTACAACTTACCAGACGCAGCTTCAATGGAATATGTTCCAGTTTGCATGGTATCCAAGCTATAATATCCATTTTTGTCAGTTTCAGTTTTAACTTGATTGTTGACAAGAACAATTGCATGAGGAACACCCGGTCCATTAGGAGTAAACAGAACACGGCCACTTACAGTAAAACCTTTAATCTAAAAAAAATAGAAAAGATTAGAAAAGTTCCTCTACAAAGGTGTACAAGCAGAATAGTCACACCTATTTACCTGAAAATCAGAGGCAAGTGCAACACTTCCATCAGATACAACAAATTCCTGAGATTTAGGGTTGAGATCAAATTTCAGATTCTGAGCCCCTTGGTAAAACGGTTCAGCCCGATAACGGCCAGGAGGTAAGCGAGAGAATCCGAACACTCCGTCCGCATTGGATTGAACATAACAAAGCTGCCTAATGCCTTTCTCTGTAGACTGAGATTTGAATCCTTGGAGACCTTGCTTGTTACAACCAGGTACCACAGGGATAGGAGAGCCCTGAAACCCACCACAAATTAGTGGAACAGTGAGAAAAATTTGTAAAATAATACTCCAGTAGCACGTACCTCTTGGGCAGAAATTTGAAACAGAATAATGTTAACCCCTTTCACAGGTTCTCCATCACTGAGTACCCGCCCAGAGACATCATAGCCTGCCACAAGGAGGCTGCCAGGCTTCACATTGCCATTACCACCAGCAACAGACACTGAAGCTTCAGCACTGCTAACATGCCACCTGAAACAGATTTATTAGTCATTAATTCATTTCTTGCCATTATATTGTTAGTAAAACTGAAAAGTGGAGTTTCATGCTCTCATAGGGTTCTTACTTAGGATGAGATGCTTGTACTTTGTAATTTCCTGATAAAACCGAAGGAAATTCGAATGCCCCACCCTGGGTTGTGATTGTTTGAGCAATCTCTTTCTTCTCTTTAAGTAAACTGACAGTCACTCCTTCAGGGCCAGAAGAGCTCCCCTGAGTCAATACCTATACAAAATTAAATGTGGTTAAGATTTCACATCTAGTTACACATGAATAAGCAACCCTTCACACAACTAGACTCACCTTGCCATACACTGTGAAACCCTTAAATTCGAAGTTGATGTCCTTATTTTGACTGCAGGGATCGTTACGTCCATCAAAGGTCAAAGGTACTTCTTTAGGGGAAAAAGTCCATCCCTGAGGTGGTTCAATCTAAAAAATTGAAACAAAAGAAAAAGATGCTCCATTTAGCTGCTATAAAAACCATTATACACAGTAAATTTATCTGAGAAATAGTCAATGACTTCGGGGCTAAATAATTAAATATTCTGGCACAAGGATCATACCTTTAGAATGTAGCTGCCTTTATCGTAAATGGGTAAGAAGTAATACCCATTCTTAGGAGCGCACTCGGTCTGGTCTTTCAAGCTGCCTTGTTTAGTGTACCTGCCAATAATTAAGAGAACTGTCATCAGTCGTGTAATAAATCAAACTATAAGGTGATAATCAATCTCAGTTGGGGATGCCGAAATGTCGTCTGCTAAACCAACAATATGATGGATTGAACACTGCCACAACTTAACACAGACAACCAATAAATCTAGCTGGAGCGTTTTATCCGTAAAGAGTAGAACATGAACCAATCTGATTCGAAACAAAGATAATATAAAGTGAACTTACAACTTCACTTGAACCTGAGCCATTGATATGTCTATGTCACTCTTGACGAAACCTCCACATCCTATGATATCTTGAGCACCAGCGCAGTTGTGAATTAAAACAAAAATAATGAGACATATTTTTAAAGGTGATAGGATAAATCTAAATAATAATTTCATCGTTTAAGTTAAACTTTCGGCTTCTTAAGATGCAGCATTAATTAGGTTAGGGTGTGACTAGTGTGTGTGACGTATGACCACTGCTACCAACTTCACCAAATAAACGTCAACATAGTGAGCTGGATTAACTCTTCCTCACAGCTGTCATTCATTTTTTTAAAACTTGTCTTTGGTCGCTTTGCCATTGACTTCTTTCCTGATCGTATTGCTAAAAGGGTTGGGCGGAAAACCAGAAAATTTTGAAAGGGAAGACAAAAGCGCCTTTGCGAAAAGCGGGAAACGGACTTTTGGAACAGCTGTGTTTTGTTTTTGCTGTTGTTTTTGTTGTTTCGCATGCTGTTGTTATTGTTGTTGCTGCTATGTCTGCTACTGTCAAACGTGGGTTTAAACGTCAACAGTTTCTCTCCCGCGGCACTCTGGACGCGCGCTCGCTGCGTGTTGGATCGCATGTCGCGGATGGGACGCCGGCCTCCTTGACGTGCTCCTCGACGAAAAGTGACTTGAACGTCGTTTCAACATGTCCGAGATGGAGAATTTGAAGAACCTCCTAACCAAGCACAACCAACAACATCTTCTGCGGTTCTGGGAAAAGCTGTCCGAGGACCAGAGGCAAGACCTGCGCCGCGACCTGAGGGAAATCAACATCGAGGAGGTCTGCTCGTACTTCGACCGCGCTGTCAAGACCCTCGAGGAGTGCCAGGAGAAGCTGGACGACCGCATGAAGCCCATTCCCTCAGAAGCATCTGGATCAGTTCTGAAAGGTACAAAGGAAGAGCTGGAGGCGTACAGGCATGAAGGCTTCCGACTCATCTCCGAAGGGAAGGTAGGCGTCCTGCTGCTGGCCGGTGGACAAGGCACCAGGCTGGGAGTCACCTACCCCAAGGGTATGTATGACATTGGATTGCCATCCCACAAGCCACTCTTCCAGATTCAAGCTGAGCGCATTCGCCGTGTTGAAGAGCTGGCTCATCAACATACTGGGAAGAGGGGAAATGTGACTTGGTACATCATGACCAGTGAGCAGACCATGGAACCAACACTTGCCTTTCTACGCAGTCACAATTATTTTGGCCTAGATAGTGCAAATGTGAAATTATTTGAGCAGGGAATGCTACCGTGCTTTTCTATGGATGGACGTATCATTCTTGATACACCCAGCCGTGTGTCAAAGGCTCCAGATGGCAATGGTGGAGTGTACCGTGCTCTTAGAGACCGTGGTATTCTGGATGACATTGAGAAGCGGGGAGTCACCTGTCTTCATGCTCACAGTGTTGACAATATTCTTGTGAAAGTAGCAGATCCTGTTTTTCTTGGATACTGCAGTTTGAAAGGGGCTCACATAGGTGTGAAGGTTGTTCCTAAAGCTTATCCCACAGAGCCTGTTGGTGTTGTATGCAGTGTAGATGGAAAGTACCAGGTAGTTGAGTACAATGAAATCACTCTTGCCACTGCTGAGCGCCGCAATGCTGATGGTGAACTTACTTTCAGTGCAGGGAATATTTGCAACCATTACTTTTCCTCACAGTTTTTGAGAGCTTTTCTCAATGAACATGAAAAGGAGCTACAACTCCACATAGCTAAGAAAAAGATCCCATATGTGGATGATGATGGTATGCAGATCAAACCAGAAAAACCAAATGGTATAAAAATTGAGAAATTCATTTTTGATGTCATTCCATTTACTGACAGTCTTGTTGTGTGGGAAGTGTTACGAGAGGAAGAGTTCAGTGCAGTGAAAAATGCTGACTCTGCAGAGAAGGATTGTCCACGTACAGCCCGGCAAGATATTATAAATCTTTATGTAAGCTACATTGAAAAGGCTGGAGGCAAAATTCTGGCTGGTCCAGATGGTTCTGTTGTTTGTGAAATTTCTCCACTCTTATCTTATGATGGTGAAGGACTAGAGGAAGTTGTCAAGGGAAAGACATTCACTTCCCCTGTGCATCTGAAGGCCCCTGGAGAACAACAAGCTGTGAATGGCAAAACAAATGGAACAGCCAATGGGGCTGTTAAGGGGGTTGTCAATGGTACTTCCAATGGAGTGTCAAATGGTGTGCATTGAAATTTTGAATGGCCTTGTAATCTTAAAAGACATCCCTTTCAAATGTAGGACTATACAACACTGCCATTTTCTCCCAAAATAGAAACTGCTATGGACTGACAAGAATTTAACTACAAATTATTATTGAAATGACAGTGAAACTAAAGCCTATGTATTTGGAAGTAGATACAATTTTAAAGGCCCTACACTAAGACCATATTGTGTTTCTGTGGGTATCAGGGTTCAATTTAAAAAAATCAAATCTGTCTTCGTTGCAGTTTGAGGGAAAGTCTGTGATTTTTTTTATTGTTTACTGAAACAGCTGTTGGGTGTCAGCAACACCAATGTCCCTTGTTTTCAGTGTTTTTTTTTTTGGGGGGGGGTACTGTGCATTAAATCGGAAATTAGATCTGTATGTTATTTAAAAGCCTTCCTGGGGAAGTAATTTGAGTGAAGCAAAATGATAGCTGACTTCAGCTCTATCATATTTTACTTTTGGGGACAAACATTATCAGAATGTCTAGCTAAATTTGAGGATTATTTTCAAGTATATTCTAGGCAAATTTATGGAACTTCTACTGTAATTATTAAACATAATTGTGATATGCTAGGCCAATTGTGTCTATCAGATTTTTACTAATTAAGTTGTACCAACTGCTCACCATGTCCTAGTTGTCACAATAACATCACAATGAGATGAGCATTTTTCTACTTTTCTAATTCAAATTGGAATGTTGTTCTATTTACTTACATTTTCTTCTCTTTCTCAACTTCCTGCAAGAGAGCAAGTGTTTGTAAGGGAACACCTCAATAGATTGCATCTACGAGCTGGAACTCTGTAGCATGCAACTTGCCCTTGACTTCATTTTCTTTCAGGCTTGTAGAAAGGAGGGAACTGTAACTTAATTTTTATTTGACTTGCAATATATTGTGATATGCATGTAACTCGTCCTATATGCCAAGCACTGTTATTATGTTCAAGCCAAAATCAAATGGTTTAACTAAGAAAGTTTCAGGAAAGCACCTAAAAAATGTTTGGCTCGCTGCACAACAATAATTCTTTTGATTACGTTTACTATTGTAACTTGTAATACTCAATGTTATGTGGTGTGGTACTCAGTAGAATATATGAGTATGTAGTATAAGTTTTAACATGGGTTAATATTTTAGACATTTATAACAGGTGTAACTTTCTTGTATTGCTAATGTTTTAGTTTATCAGAGTGTGCTATTCCAGTTTTGTGGAGGAAATATCAGGTTAGGTGCATTTTGCTTTGTTATCTTTTATTTTGTTGAGTTACATATCATTTATTACCAGTCTTGTTCTTGTTGCCTTTGTTTTAAATGTCTTGAATCATTGTTGAACCCATTTGTTGACTGCCTTAAAATATAATGAAAACGTTGCCTTACCAGCAAGTTCTTTATTTTTATATAAAATCAAACATAATGAAATGTAGTTACCAGTTAGATAAGAGTGCTGTACCTAGAGATACTTAAAATTGACGAATGTATTCATTTATGACTGTTGCGAAGTATTGAAAGTTTGTATAGACATCCGTACTGTACAAAAAAACTATTGTTTTTACTGAAAATATATCATAATATTTTACTTAAGCCAGCCTCTTTCCGTCATTTCCAAACCCCCATCCCCGCTCCCCGCTGGCCGGCGGCCGGTCGAGCGCGTCGAAGAGGGCCAAGGGAGCGCCTGTGAGAGCGAGGGTGGGCAACACCGCAACGCTCGCACGCGCAACGGGCGTGCCCAGGCTGCCGTTCGCAGGGGCTCCGCTCCGACTTGCGTTGGAGACTAGGAGAGGAGAATGCAGCTGCAGCCACGGGGGAAATTAGACACCGGCAGCTCGTTGCACGAAGCACGGAGACGGGGGATGCATAAAACAACACGCAGGGCGACGCCACGGCGACGCGGGCTGGGCCGCAGGGCTCCAGGAAGTAGTTCTCGCTGCTTGTCCGCCTCCAAGGCACGGTGCGCCGCGGTGCGCGGTCCGGGCGGGACGCCGCGTGGCGCATGCCGCATGGCAACACGCCCAGTGAGAGCGACGTGACGCCGCCTTTCACCTCACCGGAGTCCTCCGGCAGGCTCGTGGCTGCCTCTCTCTCTCTCGCACTCATGCGGCGTCCCGTAGGGGTGCGAGAGAGACGGAGCGGTGTTCAGAATCGTTTTGCTGGGGCTCTTGCCGCGTCAATTGCCGCCGGAATAAAGACTTCCCATGAGCTTCCCGAACAGCCTTCTCTATCTCCCTCGCACTCATGGGGCGCTCCTTAGGGGTGCGAGGGAGACGGGGGCTGTGTGGAGTCGAGCCGGAGGGCTCCGGGAACAATAGCGGAATGAAAGCATGGCGGTCTTCGAGGCCACTCCGACGACCGGCCGGCCTCCGGGCACCCGGGCTTGTTTAGTTGTTTTTTTTTTTTCGAGCGGGTCCCTCCACCGGCCGCCGGACGGTTTGTTAAAACTTGCTCGGAATCTTGCTCTCTCTCGCACCGCGCGCCGCACCGCGCTGACCGGGGGGAATTCCACCTCGGCCTTCTTCTCTTTTTCGCAGTGCTTTTGTTGCGAGAGTGGCTTTTTGAACGTTTGGCGGGGTTTGAAGCGCGCGGTTCGCGGTTCGACCGCGCTGGGCGCGCTGGCATTTTGAGAGAGAAAGTGTGCTCCACCTCCAGGACTCCAGGAGCAGGCTGCAGCGCCCACACTATCTGATTCGTGCGGCGGAAGGCCGCAGGATCGGGGCCTCCGAACGTCGCTCTGTCTCTCTCGCACCCATGGGGCGTTGCTTGTGGGTGCGAGAGAGACAGAGCGACGCGACTCGGTCCGCAGCCGAGTGCCAGTGCACCTCGCGGCCGCGCGTTTAACGATCGCTGCCAGCGAAAAATAAAAAGCAATCCGCTGCAGTTTTATCTGTTTGTTGACCCCGTTCCCTCGGAAAGGGAAGGGAAGGCCGATACCTGCGCGGGAAATGTGGCGGGCCGCGAGGAAAGCGGTCGCAGCCGGCCGCTCTGTCTCTCTCGCACCGACGGGCGCCCCGCACCGCCCCGCTCGAGAGCGAGAGAGACAGAGCGACGAGAGCGCCGTTCGGGACGAGCCTGGCGTGAGTGCATGCCAGCGAGCGTGACACTCGCGCGATAAGCGGGGAGGACTAGGGCCTCTTCGTGTCTCTCTCTGTGTCTCTTTGATGTGCGTCAGCCCCGCCACCGCCAGGACTTCCACGGCCTTCTAGACGCCGCGCCGTGTATTCCCTTTCGGAGGGAGGACATGCACGCTGCTTTCCCCGTCACATCGCTCTGTCTCTCCCGCCAGTGCGGGACGCCGCGCGAGTGCGAGAGAGACAGATGTGTCGCTCTGCGGCAGGTTTTTGGCGCGGCCACCCACGCGCTTGCCAGGGGTGCCAGCAGGGCCATTTCGTCGCTGTCTCTCTCGCACTCGCAGGGCGTCCCGGAAGGGTGCGAGAGAGACGGCGGCTGGCGGGCTGGCGCACTGGTGCTATCAACCTGTGACGGTGTGACGTCCCTGCAAACAGCGAAGCAGGCAAGCCGCGCGCACCTGTTCCACGTCACACTGTGGCCGTCGGCCCGTCGGCCTGGCGCTTTATCAAGACGTATCAGTGGCCAACTCGACGCGGCTGGCTGCCTGCGCTAGAGAGAGAGAGAGAGAGAGAGAGAGAGAGAGAGAGAGAGAGAGAGAGAGAGAGAGAGAGAGAGAGAGAGAGAGAGTCTGGGCCAGGCGCTGTGCAGTCGCGAGGCGGGTCGCGCCCGTCCTTGGCCGTGACTCTGGTCTACTCTACGAGACAATGTCCCCCGACTCTCGATTCCCCCAGACTTCGCATTTTTCGTCGCCCCTCCCTGATAGCGGCCGTCCGATGCGATAGAGTCCGCGTCGCGTCGTACCACGTGGACGACGTGGACCCCCCCACCATAAGGCCACTGTCAAACATTAATTTCACAAAGTAGCTGGAGGGGTCTGAAGGAATGCTTATTCCATGTGGCGGTCGACTTTGCAAAGACGGCTGCGGGAATCGTCGATGGATTGGTTCTTTATCTGGTGACGAGGACTGCGCGTCGCGTATGCGTCATGGAATGAAAAACGTAATCTTCATTTGGCCGGGGTGTGCCGGAAATCCAAGAGTGCCCGTTGAAGGTAGAAATCCGTTTTGGCGCGATCGAGTCGCGTTACGACACCACACCTCCCGCTTATCGCCCAAATTCCCTGCGACGCTCGCGTTTTCCGGGGAGCCTCGCGACGATACGCGACGTGATTCGGGTTGAAATTTGCTCTAGCTGATAAGCCGCAAGGAGGATTACTCGCGCCCCGCGACACCGCGATAAAGAGCTGCCGAAATCCTCCAAACGAGAGGCTTCCCTCAGGACGAGTTCCAACAGCGCCTTCTGCCTCTCTGGCGCCCCGTCGGAGTGCGAGAGAGACAGAGCGCTGTGTGGCTGCCGCCGAGCTGCCGCCCCCTCGGCCGTAAGGTCTGCCGCCCCTGCGGCTCCAGGGCCTTGGTGGCGGTGAGGCGGCCGGCCGAGCAGAAGCCATCCATCCCGCAGAAGGTCAACCAGTCCACCGAAGCCGCCGAGCCACGCCGCCACGCCAAGCCGCCCTCCGTCCAGACCGTCCAGGCGGCACGCCGCGCCACGCGGGGCGCTCAAACCACGCCCAGGAAAGCGACGCACGGTGGCAACCCTAGCTCGGACCAGGACCGGGACCACACCGATCGAACCCCGTCGAAAACGAACCCGGGAAAGCGGCCCTCTGGTTTTGAATCTCGTTTACTAGTGGAGGTTGTCTAGTTGAACTCCCTTCCTCGTGGAGAGTGTCCTGTGTGGTCTTTTGACATTTCCAGGTGAAGTCCAGGCTGGAACGGGTCTGGATAAGGCGACCTTGGGACGCCGGCTCGCCAACCACGCCAACCCTGTTCCTAGCCGCGCTCCCGGATCCACTTTTCTCGAATCGCAGAATCGAAGCAGTGCGACGTCCTATTCGTAGAATCTCGAACTGGCGAGGGATTCTCAGCCTGACGCCAGCAGGCTGACGCCGAAGTGTCACCATGTCCCTGTCGCACCCACGGGCGTTCCGTAGGGGTGCGAGTGAGACAGCGCGACGAAGTGCCGTTCTGCTCCGATAAAAGCTCCTCGTGGCGGCATGGCGGGCGCGGGTTCGCCGTTTGCCTACGCCGCCACTTTAAATCGCCTATTACGCGACTCTGCGTTACAGCGGGCAGACGGCCCGTCTCTCTCGCACGCCTACGGGACGCCCCGTGAGTGCGACGGAGACAGGGCGACGCTCTCCGGCAGGCCACTTTCTTCCTGCCCGGCCGTCCGCCCGCTCGCCTGTGTGTGTCTCTGTCTCTGTCCCGCCCGGTGGGATGTGCATAATAGAGCTATGAGGCAGGGCAGGCAGGGAAGACCGCTTTCCCTTTCCCACTCACTCTCGGCTTGGCGCGGTTCATCGCTCCGTCTCGCTCTGCGACGTAACCGCCGTGCACGCCGTGCACCGGGCGGCACCAGGGCATCGAGATCGGCAAGTCCCGGTGGTCCCGGCTCTCCCGACAGAGCCGCCAAGCCGAGTCCGCACAGTGCCTCGTCGCTCTGCCTCTCTCGCACCCCCACGGGGCTCTAACGAGTGCGAGAGAGACAGAGCGACGAGCCCTCGTTGAGCCCGCTGGTCTCGGGGCGGGCATTCCCTTGCTGCCGCGCTGCGCGCTGCCGCTCCCCGACGGGCTGGAGGGTCTTGGTGTCGGGGCGCTCGGCCCGACTCGTTGCGTCAGAGCGAAGCAGCGACGCAGCGCAGCGGGTGCGCCCTGCCCGGCCCTGCCCTTCTCCTCCGGGACCAGTCCTGCGTGTCCTTGGCGTCCTCCCTTCCCCGGGGGATTTTCCATGAACAGGCTCGGTGTCGAGCGGCACTGCTTCGGTTCATTTCGTTCACCTCTTTTGAAACGAGAATTCTCGGCGACCAATCATGTCCACTCCGCGCATTGTTCCGCTGAGTCAGGTGACGCGGTTCCATGAATGTCGCGATGCCCGTCGCCACCACTGTACAATGTGTGGAGGGTCTCGTTCAGCGGCATCGCGGGAACTTTAAGGAAAGGCCTGCCAGTAGAGCTGCGGGCAACCCGCCCGACACTTCTGGAAGTGGGCAGCCCGCCTGACACTCTCCTGTGAGTGGGCAGCCCTCACGAAGGCTGCCCGCCGGTGCTCTACCCTCTTCTTCCGCGTGTGTCGCGTCGGTCGCGTCGGCCTCGCTGACACTGACCTTGGCCATGCGTGTTCGTGTTCGGGGGACGCCCTGCCGCGCCCCACGGACGATAAGGATGGAGGAGGCACACACACGAGCCCTCCGCGTCAATCTCGCGAGGCACGAAGGGGAAAGGGCCGCTACAAAGGAATGGGGAATGAAAGGGCTGACGGCGCGGCGGATTGTTGTTCCGCGCGATGCGAGAGCCTCCTCCTCCCTCCAGTGTGGCGGCGTGGCGTTCTGAATCACTGCCGCCTCGTTCCAGTCGGATGCGCCTCCTAATTGGCGAAATGAGTCGCGGAATGCGAGAAATCCTCGCGCGTTGTCTAACCCTCGGGCGTGCCTCTGCTCTGGCGAACGGCCGCGGAATCGCGAGGCGCCCGCCAACGCCGATCGGACTGCGGCCCGGACGAGGGAAGGACCAGCCAGCAGCACCTTTCCCGCCAAACTCGAATCGGAGGTATCGCTAGGATCATTTCTCAGCTAACGGCGTGACTGGGCCACCGTAATGGTGTGCTTGCCCCTTGCTTGCCCCTCGACCCCGCTTACGTTCGGCCCCGCCGCGAAAGGCAGCTTTGTTTTGCTTCGGCCACACCTGGGGGCGCGGTAGCGGCGGCGGGGCGCGGTGACCTGGAGGCCAAAGTAACGGGCGCGGCGGGGCGGCCGGTGTGGCAATGCAACCGGACTCGTTATTCGACCTTGAGAAACCGATCCGCGCGCACACACACACACGCACGCACGCACCGCCGCCGGGAACTCGAAAGAAGTACACGATGTCGGTGCAGCGGTACCGCGCGTACGCCAGTGCGTTACTCCGAGTGGGTTGCTGTGCTGGCGAGCCAGGCACAAGGCAGCAAGGCAGCAGAATGGCCAAGTCCTGTGTTGGGGTCGGGGCTAGAAGTGAGGGGCTAGATCTCAAGCATCACTCATCTTTTTTATTTATTTACTTTTTTTTCTACGTTTATGTTTTAAACACACGTACACTTAACTAACCACAGGCTCGCTTCATGGAGCAACAATAACTCTTGACATCATTGCCATGAGACTAGTCATTAGCTATTTCGCGTCCCGATGCTTAACATAGAAATGTCTAGATTGGCTACAAACAGCCAAATTGGCGAACACACTTAACTACACACTTCTCTCCAAAAGTGAACTGATTCAGTACAATAGCCTATTTAAACCTAAAATCGCACCAACAAAAACACTTCTGTGTTCTAGCCTGTGATACCAAAAAAAAAAGAGATAGAAAAAGAAAGAATTGTCTAGAAATCTGGAAACCTCAACATAACTAGTAATAAAAAAATACTGAAAATTCGGTTTTGTTACATTTGGATTTATGAGCCCTGTCATTCTAAATTTATATAAGGTTTGTTCAAAAATAGGAATTTTAGAATAATTTTGGTTAGATTGTTTTTCCTTGTTTTAAACTTCAGTTCAACGGAAGTTCATCTTAAAATAGTTTAGCAGTGCCATGATTATGATATTTCGAGATTGAGTTGGACTAGGAATAAAAGCCTCACGTTAGATCATTACTAGTGACCATTTGTCACTGCACATGAGTCATCTATGAGCATTTTCTCCAAAGGAGACTGTCTTACATGGTCTTAGATACTAAAACATAACATGCTGCTGGCACACTCCCTCCCCATCAGAAACGAAAAAAAAGAGACAATGCATGATACAATGGGGCTTTAGCAGCTAACTCAGACAGACTACACTCAGTTTCATTACAACAGATGAGCAAGTTTCCAAATAGGTCAGGCACAAGTTGATTAAATTTGGATCTCTCATCAGTTTGTAAGCAACTGTAAGCAACTGATAAGGAAAAAAAAGTACAATATGCAACCACAACATAGTTGTAATAACTACTGCTCAAACTGTGGAATGTAACTTCAGAAGTAGATATCAGATAAACAAAGACAAATATGAGACAGACAGACAAATTAAGGATAAGTACAGAATACATAAGTCGTCTGAAAAATTAAATTTGAGCTTTTTGACCTACAAAACTAAATCATGAGTGTGGATAAGGCAGTAAAATGAACATTTTATTAGAATTGCAACAATTCTTGATACTAAGACATTTTCTTCTTTTGTCAGTAAAATTTGAGTCTTTTGTACTCTTGATGAGATCACACAAAGGATCATATTGAATATTAGCACGGGTTTGGAGATAAGATATAAACTGAACTCCACCATAATACACTATGGTTTACTGAGCAATATGTAGGCACAGTGTAAATGAATCCATTCATCAACTCACAACCTTTCACAATAAAATACAACTCAAGTCAGAAGTACAGAAGAACATTCAACCGAGAGGTAACAATGTAAACTGTCTTTCTAATTGAAGTTTTTAGAAATAGATTAAAAGAAATTGTATGAGCACTGTGGTAAAATAAAAGTACTTACATAACAGCAAGAACTGAGACAGTAAACACCACATTGTGGTATTTTTTTATGCTGGTGTTTTGAACTCAGCAAGTTCCAAATTGCACAAGGATGAGCATCAAGTTAATTTGGTGATGCTTCAACCTAATAAATCATAGCTGAATCTGATCTGAGTACATCCATTTTAACAATGAATGATTTTATTAAAATACAAATTGGATCCTCAATTGGGATAGATGATGATGTAATTATATTAATTCATTGGTTCATAACTTACAAAGGAGAATGTCTGTTAAGACAAACGATTGTTTAAATTTAACGAAAGTATACGACAAAGTAGTTCCACGAACATACAAATTCATTTTTAATATCACAGAAAATGCATATAATGCTTAAGTATATTAGTTGAATGGCATGGAAATTTAGCTGCAAGAGTTAATGACTGGTTTGATGTGTCTGAAATCCATAAAATTGAAGGTGTTACAAGTAATTCTGTGAGTAACAACATCATTTTAAGAACTTATCCCACGACATAAAAACATCACAACTTTGGACCAATGCAACCAATATCAAGGCTAGATACATAAAATCACATAAACAGATGTAAATAGTCGAGAGTGTGGCTTACAATTAGTCTTAGTTTAACACATTAAACAGTAATAACTTACAACAAAAATGTGTACTTGAGACAAAAACAAACACACATCACCTCTTGATTTCAAAAAAATAAAATATGTGCAAAAAAAGATATGATCTGTAAAATAAAAACAAACCAACAAAATAATAAAACTTTGAGTTTTCAGTTGGCTGAATGGAAACCATGCAGTACAAAAACAAACAAATTGGTTGTTGTAACAACATCAATTTCGGTAACTCACACAAGAACATTATTTATAAATTCAGCCAACTTGATTTAAATAAAGCATAAAATGGGAGTATGTGACCCCAAAGTGAAAAAATGAATATAAAGACACTAAAAAGCTAGTACCAATATGTAAATCCTATAAATTGCTGTTTCCTTCCCTTGATAAAACAATGGAAACTATGTGATGTAATGTGAAGGTCCCAAAACTTGTACGGTTCACTTGTTGCGCATCAGTTCACGTTTTTTCAATTGCTTCAATGCACATTTAGCAGCAGTACATTTAGCAATGCGATAGTTTCTTCCAATGCCTTTGAATGTGCCTTTGCTGAAAACTTCAACTGTGACTCGAACTCTGCGCCCATCAGCGAGCTTTTCGGGTTTACTAGAAAACACACACATATACACACAGTTAATTTATAGGTTATTTTGATTCATATACAAATACAATAGATTTTTCCCTCCTATTCTTACCCAAACTTTGCAGTTTCAGGTTCCATTTCAAGAAGCTCACGAATGGGAGACTTGGGGACATTAGTACTGAATTGCTCTGAAATAATGAACACCAGGAATATTGAGAACGATTTTGCAGTACACAAAGAGTCACAATTCAAGTCATGAAATACTTACCTATTTCTGCACGCATCATGCGATAATAGACTCTCCAAACAGCATCCAGAGACATACCACTGTCTAAGAAAATGGCTCCAGCTACAGATTCGAAGACATCTCCTAAGGCTTTAGGAACTTCAATATCCTCAGCTTCTTCACACTCCTCCTCTTCAATGAGATAATACTGCATAAGGGAAAAAAAAGATACTTAAGAAAATTGGTCACAATCATTAATAAACCAAACTTCAATAAAATTAATATCACACCTCTTCACTTATTGCATGTCCATTTTCTTCTTGGATTCGCACAAATCTATCAACAACTTCATTTAATCCTGGTGACAAATGGCGGAAATACTTGTGGAAACCAAACTTGACAGCTAATGATGCAAATATTGTGTTATTAACAAGAGCTGATCGGAGATCTGTGAGAGCACCAGGAGAATGTTGACGCCAGTCTTCATAAAGGTGTCTAGTGATTAAATAATCTGAAAACAAAAGAAACAACATTGATACAACGTTGATAACTCACTTATAACTTTGATAATATAACAAGAACAATCCAGTACCCAGGACAGCATCTCCAAGGAACTCAAGGCGTTGATAGCAGTCTGTAAGCTGATTGGGAGAGTATGAGGCATGGGTCAGAGCCTGCAAAAGATAACTGCGGTCTCTGAATCTATAGTGAATTTTGTCTTCAAACTTTTCAAAACCGTCCAGTAGGATTGTCAGTTGGCCTTCAGGATCTGGCACATGCCTTAATAAAGGCGATTTGGGTGGTTTTAGAAAGCCATATTGCGTCTGGAAACAGACAATGTCCAAAGGTGAAATTGACTGAAAAGAGAAAACCACATTTCATGCGTCCAACATTTCACATACCTTAACATGACCATCTTGGGAAATAGGTTCTTCTTGAGGTAGAACTTTAATTCCCAACCAGGCCATAAACAAAAGCGCTCCTCTGGGGCCACATGATATGAGGTAAGCTCCTGAAAATGATAAAATATGAGATTAGATACCTAAAGACTCTTTCTTTGATATTTTACTTTCTTTAGATGAGAGGAAGATCTCACCAATGAGGGCTTCTACACAATCTGCTATGCTTTTATCAGGAATGCTATGTTGAGTGATGAGATTATAGGGAATAAAGCAGGGCATTGAGTCAAGGAGTGCCAGTGGGTCAGCATCTAAATGCATTTCACCATCTGTGTCTTTTGCTGCTTCTTCACTGCCTTCCCCTCCTGCAGAACTGCTAGAATCATTGCCATTTCCCTTAACTGTTCCTTTCACAGTTTGCTTCATTCTGGCTTCCTTTTGCTGTTGAAGCAACTTCAATTGCTGCTGCTGCTGAAACTGCACCAATTTTTTGTGTTGCAAAGCAGCAGACAGAGGCACATCATCATCATCTGAATCAGCATCAGCACTGATGTTAGCCAGTTTGAGGGTTTCTTTTCTTTCATTCACTTTTTGTTGTATTTCTTCCAATGTCAAGTTCCTCAGTGACGGCAAATCTGCCGAGTTCCAGTGACAGGCTGGCAATCCTGCTTGAATGAGAGCTTTTTCTAGGTCACGAGGCACATAATAACAAGGTGGTAGCCAGTTGTCATGAGGTTCAAACTTTGTTGCAATCATGCTTTCACCAAAGACTTTCCGCCTGCCTAAACGGTACAAATTGAGGTTGCTCACTTGTTTGGAACGTAAATGACTTAATTTGCCTTCATGTATTCGATCATAAGTACAATAAAGGTAAGTTGTGATTGCATACTTCAGGAAAGAATCCCCAATTGTTTCCAGCCGTTCCAAATTAATACCATCATTTGCATTGGACATAGTGAGTGCCTGCAAAAGTACTGCAGGAGAAGGACCAGAGTGCCCACTTAGATCTGGCTGGAAATCAAAGCTGAACTTTATACCAAGGTCGTCATCATCCGGTTGAGGGAATCCTGACAAAGAGTTGAAAGCAGACGGTGGAGGGCTAGTCTCAAGGTCATTCATATTACTATTCATTATGTATTCAAGTGCTGGAAGTTTCTTATCACAAGTGTCATTTTGGACATTAGCATTTTGGTCAGAGCTTGCTTTAACCAGAATGTAGGGTTTATCACTTGGCACATAGCGCCCATCAGAATAAATAGTATTAATATTTTTCTCAATGATTTGCTCAAACTTTTTTAAAGTGCTTTCATCTGGGCATTTATCTCCAGTTTCATGCCAGTCCCAAGGCTCTTCTTCCAGGATCTGGAAGATGGACAGTTTGGAGTTTCCTTCTCTCCCCTCATCTTCAACTGCCTCAGCTGTATTGTCAGGCTGGTACTCAATACGCAGTCCACCACCTCCTCCTCCATCATAGCTGCTGCCATCATCATCATCTTCGTCATCATCTGTAAGGTCACTGTACGAGTCCGAGTCAGGGGCAGCACAAGGCTCAGGTTGAAATATGGTTCTGGACTGATGGGAAGGCATCCAGTTAGCAGAAGAGCTGAAGCGAGCATTGCTTGCTCCTCGAGTTCGCACTTGCTCTGGTTCGTCCTGTGGAAAAAGAGAGAGATAGAGATAGAGAAAAAAATATTACCTGATGGCTTAAAAGAAAAGATTAACCATGATCAAGAGCAGACCTGATTGGTTGGAATGGGTGATCCCCAGCCAGTCCCTGGTGCACTAGTTCCCCAGCCACTACCACCCAAGTCTGGCATGTTTTGCAGCATTGTCACGTTACCAGGCAGAGCCGCATTTGGGTCAAAATAGTCAATGTCTGGTTCTGAAGGATTTGAAGCCATTTCGTTGGACCAGGTTCCAATATCAATCCAAGGACTTTCCATTTTCTTCTTTTCTTCCTCACTTCCTTCTGGAGTTCCACCTTTATCTGGTTTTGGCATCTTTTCTGGAGGGTTTTCAGTATCTAATGGAAGTTTGACAGAACATTCCTGGCTGTTATCTGTATCTGTGTCTTTGTCTTTAACAGATTCCTCTCTTGCTTTGATTTCTCTAGATTTTTTCAAGACATCAGCAAGTGTCCACCCAAAGTTCAAAGGTCTCCACTCAAAACCTATTAACAAAAATGAAAATTAAAATACATATGTAATGAAATGAAAACCAACAATAGGAACTGAAAATATTTGGCAAAAGTTAGGTGCTAACCTGAGGGCAGCTCCATAGAACCTAAACCAATATCAAGTGCAACTTGACGACGCAGTTGGTCAGCTAAAAGTAAAGCGTTAATCCTGTATAAAATACATGGTAAGCACACTGCTTTGCGCCATAGGGAGGCAGGGAAAGGATGGACTGTGCACAGTTCAGGAACCAAAATCTGCTTCTGTTCTAGATTTTCTCGTTTAGCCCGTTTGGTTTCTTCACTGCTAGTGGGCAGAGCAACACCTTTCCTGTTTACATATCTGTGGAAAAAGTAAGGGTTTTAGAAAATATTGAACAGAATGTTTCACACAAAAACAGGACTGTGGTATTAAAGACATCATTACCTGGGAGTCAAGAAGTTTAATCTTGCTGATGTATGGTCAACATCTAAAAGAGGCTGTTCTCGATTCTGAATGGTTAGTCCATATTTCTTGTAATAATAGTTTTCAAAAGAATGATAATTTTCAGAACTTGGAAATGATGACTTAGGATTGAGCTGGTAACAAATTTCAGCTACATAGAAGTACTGGAGAACAGAAACAAAAAAGCAATTACCACATCAAACAAAATATAGATATTCTAAATTTAAAAATTTAGAAGAGTTTAAGTTCACACCTGGGGTTGATCTTGGTTGCGGTACCAAGGCATAACAACTGCATCTTGATATTTGAAGGCCTCAAACATAAAATCTTTGCGGTTTTCCTCTGACACAGGTTTTGGACTCAGATTTCTTCTGTCATAAATGCGGTCCAAGAACTCCCAGTCTACAACAGCTGTTGACTCCTTTGTTGCTGTGGAATATTTTAAGCGGTTAGAAAGAATATAATACAATAGAGGTACATAAAAGATGACAGCTGGTGGCTTCAGCTCATGCCCTTACCCTTCCGCGTTGGCACGATGAAAAAACTATTTTCTGCTGCATTTGGATCAAACATCATCAAATATTTTTGAAGGCGCAGTACATTTGTAAATGTGTAGTTAAGAAATGTGATGATTTTCTCAACATGAATGTCAGTTAATTCCACTGGCTCTGGGTTGAGTTCAAGACTGACAGAAACTTCCCCAGATCGGGTGAAAATAGGGAAGGGACAAACCTGAGAGCCGATCACAAATTAATAACAATGGGTTAGTAGAGATAACAGGAGCAGAAGAAATTAGGCTACATACCTTGGGAATAGGTTTCAGAGTTAAAATACCAAACCCTTGGGGACTATCCTCAGGTGCATAAATAGACCGTCCTCTAGTATTCTGTTCATCTGGCAATGGACAAGTCAAAACCATACTAACATTGTAAAGCAATGCTTTTGATCCTGCCACAGGCCTACAATCACTAAGCGCTTCTGCAACCTAAAATAATTACAACAATAAGAAAAAATTAATAAGTTTTCAAAACCATTCTTGTCAGATTGTCTGATATATAATCTATACCCTTTTGTAATAATACTGCCGACGTTTGGTTGTGCCTGGACGAGGTTCATTCGAATCCCATGAAATTGAAGCTTCTTCAATTTCTTCTGGTGCCAAAACAATACCTCCATTGGCCTCATCATTAGTCAGTCGGAAACTTTCCTTTCCAATTGGCATCAAGTTATCATCAAGTTCCAAAGCTGCATGGAGAACTCGCACAGTCTTCAGAGCTGTCAAGCGCTGGGACAATATCTTATTCGGTACTGCTGGACCCTATCAAATAAAATCATTTTGTACAATGAGTTACAGCATACACAACCCTTTTGTCTAGAAAATGTCCAAAAAGTTACCGTGATGTTCTGCTTCACTGGAGAATTTATTGGCAGTCGTAATGTGCAGCTATATAATTTTGTTCCATCATTAGCAAAACTTTGGTTTATGGTATACAAGGGGGTGAGTTTGGTAAATGTGTCACTAGGCAATTTGGCACAATACCGATTTATGAGAGATATAGCATTAGCAAGAGTAGCACATGAATTTTTTTCTGTTGAACCAGAGGGAGAAAAAGTTTCCACAACTGAAGTGTATAAATCAGCTTCTTTTTCTTCCTCAGACGAAGACTCACGATTCATACACTTTTTCAACAACACCTGATTGACAGAAAAGTATAATTATAGAATGTACCACTCAAAGTAAAAAAGAAAGATTTCCAAAAAAACAAAGACAAATATATTTTTTCTATATTACCTGTTCAATACCCATAAACTCTGCAAGTTGACGAACAAACAACTGCGAGTTGCCTTTCTCAATCAGCAATACGAAATGAGCATCGGCTGCCCTTGCACGTCCCTTACAGTGAACATATGATCTGTATGACTGAGGTTCATCAAAGCGTACTACCAGGTTACACCTTGGTAGCTCCATGCCCTCCTCCAGGACTGATGTGGCGATGAGTAGATTACATTCATGCATGCGAAACCTGCAACAAACAAGGAGTTCTTCTTAGAAAAGCAGTGGTGCATAAATTTTTCGTGTTGCCTGGAAGGGGCTATCTTTACCTTTTCAACACCTCTTCTTGTTTACGATGTTCCTGCTCAGCATCTCTTGGCTCCGTCACAGGATCAGCAGTTTTCTCTACTGTGTACTGAACTCCTAGATAGTTCAATTTATCATCATGCCTCCGTACTTCCTACAAAGTACCATAAAAAAATCAAAATTAGTATTACAGTAAGTAAACAAATGTATCATGGTACATTTCTTTCCCTTCTTCAGTCTTACATTTAGCAGGTAAAAAAGAATTTTAGCTGTCAGATGACTCCGAACAAATATTATTCCACACAGAATGTCAGGGTCCATTGGATCAAAAGTCCCCCTTCTGGATCCATCTGCATTTCCTTTACGAGGATACCTGTGTCAACAAAGTGGTTTTGATTGGCTAATCCATGACAAAAAAAAGGCAGGTTTAACGAACAAACAAATCTAATTCACGTTACCTTGATCCTCGGCCTCGGCCTCTTCCCCGTAAAGGGCGTGTTGATGCTGCAAAAAGACATTAGTATTATTATTATTATGATATAAAGGACACACAATAAAGGCATCTCAAACCTATTTCTCAAAACTTAACATACCTCTGACAGGTTGCTTGGGGATGACATTAACTTCTGGTGGTACTTCCTTCATTTCTGCTTTTGGTTCAGATTCCAAAGGAGGTTTACTTTCTTCTGAAGGTTTAGTTTCTTCTGAAGGTTTAACTTCTTCTAGCATTCTAGGTTCTTCTGGTGGTGAGGGTTTCTCATCTGATGAAGTTCCAGCTTGAGCAGCTGAATCTGAGTTATCTGTTGGGCTCTTCTCTTGTGTTGATGTGGCTTCCATCGCTTTATTTTTCTGGGCAGCACCTTCAGGAGGTGCTCCAGCGTCTTCAACTTCCGCCTGAGGTGGTCTAAACTGCTTTAGCACCTCTAGAAGCCTCACCACCTTAGGTGAGCAAAACTTATAAATTTTATCTTGGTCATCATGTCGTTGAAATTCATACTCACAAATAGCTCTAAAATTACAAAAAAATAAATTATTAACAACAACAATAGAGAGGCAGGCATACTGCCATACTGCCAATTTTACCTTATTTTTATCATTACAGATGAAACCATACACAATAACAGATAATGACGTTCATATGGAGTTTTAACTTTCAATTTCTCAATTTGAACAAGGTAGATTAAAGCTGCTCGATCGGCACAATATGGTCCTGAAAAAAAAAAAAAGATGTCAAGTAATATTTTGAACAAATTGACAACTATGCACCTTTAACTTGCTAAACTTTAGCTGCACCTAGAGGCTTCTGATTCATTGACATAAATGCAGAAACAAAATAAACTTACCCAAAGTCCTCAAAATTTCTAGAAACTCCTTCATTATACTTAATGGGTCTATCTTAGGGTCTGGTACCCCTAGCAAGTCTTCTCGAAATTCTTCATCATAAATCTCAAAAGGATCATACCTATGATCATTGAGAAAAAAGAGGGCTTCTTCAATTTGCTGAGAAAGTTGACTATCAACATCTCCGGGTTCATGAAGAGCACATTCCAACACCCGTTCAGTAGGATGAGTGCTGAACCTAAAAGATTAACAATAAAATTTGATTGCTAGACACCAACTAAAGATAGAGTATAGGGTATTGGTTAAAACATTACAAACCTCAAGAGGGAAACTATTTCACTCGCAGTTTCAGCAGATGAGTGTAACGCAGTTTCTAAGCGATTCATTTCCCATTCCAGCTTACTAGGATTACATCCTGAGCTAAAGAGTTGTGGTGTAAATCCTAATATTCTTGGTTTGCTTTCATTCAATTCCATATATGCCTTCATTACCTAGTAGGAGCGAAAATTTAGAAAATATTATCATGAAGAGAAGATGATATAAAACTGAAACGACTCATGCAATGACTGAAAAGGGTACTCTTACCTGTTGTAATGGATTATTGGCCTGCACAACTAACTGGCATTGGTCTATTATAAGCAAATTCACAGTTGCAAGGTCCAAAACGCCTATATTCACAGCATTGGCACATATTTCAGGTGTCATCACTAAAACCTTTATAGAAAATTTAAGAACATTACACATAAAATTCTACTTTCAATAAAATTTCCTTTTAGAAAGAGTATCGAACCTTACCTGTTTATTAGAAGTTTGTTGCTGAAATGTGGTAGGTTCCCATTCAGTAAACCATTGTACTGAAAGATCAGTAAGGTATTGCAAGTATGATGCCATAAATGTCACAACTGAAGGTGTGTGGGCCAAGTATATGGTACATTTTTGTTTTCTAAACCAAAATTAAATTGATGATCATCACAATCTGGACAAAAACTAGAAGCAGATTATAAAACCACAAAAAAAGGTAATCATCCTTACTTGCGAATCTGGATGGCACATTCTACTATAAGTTTGGAGGCAATAAACACTTTGGCGGTCCCGGTCCCAAGGCAGATGATAATGTTACGATCTTGAGCATTATCCAGAAGTTCCACCTAGGTAAATTAAAGCACATTTCATTTAAGTGGCAGTAACTTATTTAGATGTTAAAAGTGGGATGTTAAAAATGTATTCACCTGGTACTCTCGAGGGGTGAACGATTTTGTGTGGACATCATTTAAATAATAAGCCATCGGCTTAGCTGTAATCACATATAAAAAATAAGATTTCTCTAAAGATATCTAGAGAATGCAAAGGATGCTACTGGGGCATCAAAGAATGCTGTCAGTTTATTCAGTTGGGACTAAAGAGACAAACAGAAGGAAACTCCAAGAATGACAAAGAGATGAATGGAGGAACAATTAATGGTACAGGGAAGGTGCCAGTTTTTTAACAGTGTGTTTGGCCAACAAGTATAAAGTTTTTTGGATGAGTTTTAACAGGTCTTGACAGCTATTTAGTTCACGAAGAAATTTGTTTACATTATTTACGTATTGTATTGGAGCGGACGAGGTTAAGGATTACACCAGAACGAACTTTAACGTAACTAATGCAATAGGTAAAGTGAACTGTTCAAATGAATTGGAGAGAAAAACAAGGGCATTAGCTTGTACCAACAGCAAAGAGGCTATGAAATGATTTATTTGATTGAAGGGGCGAAAAAAGAACCTGTCGGATGTGTTGTTTTGAGTGTACAGACGAGCATCCAATGATACCGGGCGAAGGTTTCCAGCAGACTAAAATAAATATGTACAACAGAGCCTAACCAATTTCCCGGGCTCACGCGGTGTCTTTCCGATCGCAGCCGCGAAAGCAAAAACTAGGAAGAATCAATGTTTACTTTACGTTTGAAGGAAAATTTCACAATTCGCAAATACGGCAAGAGAGCCGTAAAATAGTCATTAAATTTGGATTTCAATCACACTGCTTCTACAAGGCCGTGACCCAGAAGCAGTTGCGCCAACTTACGAAACCGAGGAATGCGGTTGCCCTAGAAATACTTCATCTTTGATCGAAATTATTTATTGTGCAATTGTTAAATTATTACACGTGACATCGAATGAACAAAGAATCCCCATCCTCGTAAAAAGCGTGTTTGTACAAAAATTGATTTTGCATCTGGTCACTTTTGGTTGGTGAAATTTTCATTGCAGCGAAGAGCGTCTGCATGAACGGACCCACACACTCAAGCAGACGAAACGAAGTTCGAAGTTGAAGTGAACCATAAAATCAACAAAGAATCAAGGAAATAACTCTCAGGGAGCGTAAAGAGTTGGTAGGACAACGGTATTGAATATGCAGCTTTCGGCACACAGCCGAATCCTCTCCTCGACGGGGCATTTCGCGAACAGGAGCCGGGCCCTTGTGTCGTCTGCTAGCGGAGCTAGCGGACGCGCGACCAAACAAGCATGGAACATCGTGACATCCGTGACAATTCAAACGTCTGCCTTCCATAGTGCCAGGGTAAGCATGACGGTTTTGTCTGTTGTATTTCCCTACTTCGAAGTGGACTGTAAGTTTATTTCAATTACTTGATTAGAATGGCATTGTTCTCGCGGACAATGCATGTCCGTCTATGGACGTTCTGGCGACCTTTCTCCACTTATTTGAATCTAACCTCGTCGTTTTGATGAGTTTTTGGTTAAAACAGCCGAGATCGTGTGTTCAGTGTTTGTGTTCCGCGATTAACATTTTGCAAGTGCACTTGCAATGTAAGCATGAATTATGATCGATTTGTTTGGTACCGTGCCAGCATGTGCACTTTTAAATTCAGCCCTTCGAACGGTGGGCTTTCATCGACCAGCTCTCACGGAGAGGCTTCTAAATTTAGCTCGTTCAGAATAGGATTAACTTCGTCCCCCCAGTGCTATATGCATCGCTGGTACTCGTCGCTGCCCTAAAATCGCTGCGGCATGATTTTAGACCGACATTGTCCTATAGTTGGGCCAATATTTTTTTTTATCAAAGTAAGAGGTGATTTCGTCGATTAGGTGCTATTTACGCGTGCCGTGAGGTACCGGTATACCGACGAGTATCTCACGAGCGCTGTCAAAGTGGCCATCAGGCGTGCGCGCCTGCAGCGCTAATGGGGAAATTTGGTGACGTCAGTCCTCGCGAGGCTCGTCCCGTGCGTCCCGTGTCACTTGGACTATCGACGTCACGCTCGAGTCGCGCTTCGTGCGACGGGTTGGACGGGCCCTTGCGGGATGGGTTGGTGCTGGGGCAGCGTGGACTTCCCTGGCCGTTTTCCCGCCAAATCCGCTGCCCGTTTTGGCGCCAAGTCACTCTAACGGCCCGACGCCCTCTCTGTCTGCAGGTGGCCAGCCTGCCCAACCTGCAGTCCCGCATCAAGGAGTACACCAAGTACTACGTTGGCCCACACCGGTAAGCCTTTGCCAACGACGGACGCGGCGACCGACGCCCCTTGATGCCAGCTCCTCGCAAAACGGATGAATGTTTGATTCGAGCCAGTGTAGCTTCTCCCTCGCTCGGTGGGCCTGCCTTGGCCTGCCTCCGGGCCGTGCCCGTGACGGCTCACACCCCCGAGGGGCACGACTACAGAGTACTTGACTTATTCAGAGTCTCGACTCGCGCTGCCGGTCCGCGGCCAGTCCAGGGCGGCCCAGCGCCAGCCCGCGCAGACGCGTTTTCGGATGCGTTCGGGCGAACAGCGAGATAGCGGCAGCGTCACGATCCTTGCTCCATTGCACGCGATAATTGTGTCGCTCTCGGCTGTCTGTGTGTGTGTGTGCCGCCGTGAGAAGTAAGTCTGGTATCAGGTGCTTCTGGTGTAGGGCGCCGCGCGCGTCATGCTCTGTCATACTCTGTGTTCCATGTTCATTGTTTAGCCTAGATTCAAGAAGGCGGGCTTATCGTCTCGTCGGTCCGTCCCGCCCACCTTCGTCCCCGCCACCGTAAAGGCGGCCTCGACTTGGCGGCGTGAGCAGAGGCATTGCAATCTTTGATAATGTAGTTCCGCTCTATCGACCCCCTTCACCCAATCCCCTCGGCCCGTTGGCTGGCGGTCCGCAAGGTTGCCGTCGCTGAATAGGCATTCCCCATCCCCCGGCCAGAGTGCCTTGCAATCAACCAACCTGGCCGAGCCAGTCTAGCCGTTCCGAAGGGTCGTCTCTTTCTCTCTCTCGAATGGGACGCCGCCCCATGAGTGCGAGAGGGACGGCGGCACAGGCGCCCCTGGGAGGGCCACGGCCTGGCACTGCCTGGCTCTGTCTGGCACCTTCGCGCGACGATGGGCTGACCGTTGCAGCAGCGGGGCAGCCGCGCGTTAAGGGCCCCCAGGTTTAATTATGGATCTTATAATGGCCGAGGCTGCTCTCGAATCCTGGCAAGTGGTCATGTGAGCAGGGGCGCTAGGCCAAAGGCGTTCGCCGCCTGAAAGGTAGCCGACTTGTGCCACGGCCGAGCCATGTGTACAGAACCCCTCCTCTTTTTTGCAAACTTTCTTCGCGACCCCCACAATTTCGGCCTGTATGGTGGAAGGTCTACCCTTGAAGTTAGCGTCTCTGTCCCACTCTTAGAGATTCGTAGTGTCTCAACTCTGTGCTTTGTTTGTGTGCACCCTGCAGCCAGCTCCCCAGTAGAGGCTATTCCTTCATCCACGATGTCAGCTACATGGTGTAAGTACCTTCCAGTGAACCGGGACAACTAGCTATCTGCTTTCGCTTTACCTGTCCAGCTCTTGCGACCAAAAAAAGCTCTACCTGTTCTAGAATAGGAAAAAATCATAAGAAACGTCAATTCACTGTGTCGGCTGTAGCCATTAGACTGAAGTGCGAGCGGAAAAAGCGTGATCTCATTCTGCATCAGCTTTTCCACTTCTTCTTTTGTTTGTGTTTGTGTTTGTTTTGTTTTTGATGGTCGCGAATTGGCAACCTAATTAGCGGTCCGCTGCGGTGCTGCCCGCTACACTGATAATTGATAGTAGCGCCTCTCATGCGTCTGGGTAAACAAGACGCGCGACGCACAGTGGGCCAGAACACCGGTGGAGGCGGCCAACTCGACGTGTTTTGAGCTCCAGAGTCGCTAAATGGGACTCGAACCGAACGTGTCAACCCACCAATGGATTCCTCGTTCGGAGAGCAATCCATTGGTGGGGTCACACGTTCAGTTCGAGTCCCGTTAAGCGACTCTGGAGCTCAAAACGGGTCTAGAGGTTTGGCCGCCTCCACCGGTCTACTGGCCCACTGTGTGACGCGGTGCTTGGGAGTGGAGACGTGGTGGAGCAGAGCGAAGTGGAGCGCCTGCGAAGCGGAGGGTAGGCAATCCCGCCACACTGCCGAGGCGGCGTGGAGCCTACCGCGCGAAAAAAGAGAGACAGAAACAAGCTGGTTGGATTCACTGACTCTGCCTCGTGTCCAGGTCCAAGGACTCGGACGAGATGCGGTCCAAGGCCGCCGAGGACGTCCTCTTCGACATGTTCAAGAATGAAGACAACGACCTGCTGCCGATCGGCAAATTCCTGGCCGTAAGTGAAGTCGCGCACTGAAGGGCGGTCTTGTCAAGCCATGTCACTCAACCCACTACGTGTTTTCTCTTTCCCGTGTCGCAGGCGCTCCGGCAGACCGGCCTCCGCAAGAACGACCCGCGGCTCTCCGAGCTCAGCGAGAACCTCCGCGCGCTGCACCACAAGTCTGGCTACGAAGGCGGCTCGCCCGAAACGCAGAAGTTGGACCGGGAGACGTTCCGGAGGTGCGGTTTGCAATCCCACGGCTATTATTTTTTTTTGGCCAGCCGGTTTCTCTAACAGTGCACCCTCGCTCCTGCCCGCAGAGTGATCCAGGCCAACATGATCCTCATCTCGAGGGCCTTCCGCCACCAGTTCGTCATCCCGGACTTCCCCAGCTTCACCAAGTACATCGAGGAGTTCTACTGGCGGTGCAAGGCCAACACGGAGGGCAAGGTGAGGCAGGGGGTGTCCTCGCGCCCCCAGTGTAGCGACGGCCTCGGAGTCTTCGCCTCGCCGGCCGATCAGTTGTGTGCTCTACAAATCCCAGTCGTACAAACACACCCGCTGAAATGGTCGAAGCGTTGTTTGCACAGCACTGCGTGTGTGCGACAGAGTGCCTCCCCTCTTTCCGGCCGAGCGCCGCACTGAGACAGGAATGGGGAAGTGACTAAGGCCGCTGGTCGGTGTTTTGGTTTGTTCCCCGTAGGTTGCGAGCTACATCCCCCAGCTGTCGCGCATGAACCCCGACTACTGGGGCGTGAGCGTGTGCACCATCGACGGGCAAAGGTTCTCCATCGGTGACGTCACCGTGCCCTTCACCCTCCAGTCCTGCAGGTGGCTTGCCCTTCCCTCCAGCACCTTTGGCTTTACACTGTAACACCCCGCGTTGCGACTGCGTTGCTAACTCGCCCTTTTTCTGCCCTGCCACAGCAAACCCTTGAACTACGCCATTGCCCTGGACAAACTGGGCCCCGACGTGGTGCATTCCTATGTAGGGCAGGAACCTAGTGGCCGCAATTTCAACGAACTGATTCTTGATTATAATAGTAGGTATCGCTCGCCATGGCTAGCTTCACTTGGAACCTGTGTAATCTTGAGGATATGTAAAATAGAGGTGTGGAGCTAATTTGAATTTCTTACTCAGAGCGTCCTCACAACCCGATGATAAATGCTGGGGCCATTTTGGTCTGTTCTCTTCTGAAAACTCTCGTCAAACCAGAAATGACATTGGCAGAGAAATTTGATTACACTATGAATTATTTCAAGGTAAGTGCCTTTTTTGGTAACAATTTTCTTAAAAGCTCATATGGTGACTAAGAATTTATTGTGATCCTTTGCTTAACAGCGGTTGGCAGGTGGCGAACCCATTGGATTCAACAATGCAGTTTTCTTATCAGAAAGGGAGGCTGCTGACCGTAATTATGCCCTTGGCTTCTACATGAGGGAGCACAAATGTTATCCAGAAAAAACAATTTTACGAGATTGTATGGATTTCTATTTCCAGGTATGATGCTTTCCATTGAAGTGCTTGTTTCATCACTGGAAAAGTTGTTCTTTTTTTAAAAATTCAATGTTCTTCTTCTTGCAGTGCTGTTCTATGGAAGCTGACTGTGAGAGTATGGCTGTGATGGCTGCGACTCTTGCAAACGGTGGCATCTGTCCAACAACTGAGGAAAAGGTTTTGAAGTCAGATTCTGTTCGTGATGTTTTGTCTCTCATGCACTCATGTGGAATGTATGATTACTCTGGACAGTTTGCTTTCAAGGTGAGCAGCCTTCTTGCTAGCAGCCTTCACTTATCGCTTAGGTAAAAAATTAATTTGATTGATTGATTACGGGACAGGTGGGTCTTCCAGCAAAATCTGGTGTTTGTGGAGGAATGTTGGTTGTGATCCCCAATGTAATGGGAATATTCACATGGTCGCCTCCTCTGGATCCCCTCGGCAACAGCTGTCGAGGAGTTCAATTCTGTGAGGTAAAACTTTTGCTAATTTTTTTAAAACAGTGCTGTTTGTTGTAAAATCACATCTCATATGGCTTGTGTTTTTTTGCAGGAACTTGTTCGAGAGTTCAACTTCCATCGTTATGACAATTTGAAGCATGCAGCAAACAAGCGAGATCCTAGGCGTCATAAGTATGAAACTAAAGGTTTAAGTATTGTCAACCTACTTTTCTCAGCTGCTAGTGGAGATTTGGCAGCTCTTAGAAGGTATGTTTTTTTTTCTAGCTGTGGTGTTTTTCTCCAAAATAAATCAGCTATTGCATTTCCAATAATATTAACAATGACTTTCAACTTGTCGTGCAGGCACAGACTCTCTGGTATGGACATGACTTTGTCCGATTATGACGGTCGGACAGCGCTGCACCTTGCTGCTGCTGAGGGTCACCGAAAATGTGTTGAATTTCTGTTGGAACACTGCGGTGTTCCATTGCGCCCCAAAGATAGGTCAGATTTGCATGCACTAAAATATATTAGGTGTTCAAGCTTCCATAGTAAAATTTTAACACGCTCTATCCTGTTGTAGATGGGGCCACTACCCAATTGATGAAGCGCAAACCTTTGGACACACGCAAGTTGTAGAGTATATGAAGAAGTACGAGGATGATTTGGAAGCTCAACAGAAGATCCAGCGTGAAGAGGAAGAGAAGAAAAACAATAAGGAAAAGGCACAAACATCTACTTTACCCATCTAAATGAAGTGCTTGAATGTATTTTTCAACTTCCAGTCATAATTTTGGTTTTTGCTGTGCAGAAACACTGTGCCTTTTTTTCCTCCATCAAGTTTTAAGTTTTTGAAATGTACAATTAATGTATTGGTGGAAACAAAAACACCACAATTCGCCACTGCGAGATTTTTTTTTGTTTGACCAGGGTCAATGTTGTATACAATGATTATTTATTGCAATAATGTCTAGTAATTTATTTTGGAGGCCTCTTTTAATCTTCTTGAGCAAAACACTATGGATTTTGCAAATTTTAATCTATCAGAAGCGTTGTCTGATAGCATAGTTATGTTTTCCCCTTACTTAAGTCTCACTTGGCTGTGAAAGACATTGTGTTGATTTGACTGTCTCATTTCATCCACATGAAGATTACACTTATTAAGAAATCTTAATTTTGTGAGATGCAATGTGTTAAAATTTATTTGCCCTTTGTTGGTGCGAATAAGACCTATGTTTTGTTTTGTATTTACGAGCTGTGTGAGGTTGAGCAAGAGGGGTGGCTTTATTTTGAAGCCTTTGCAAATTGACTTGTTGTATTAAAACCAAAGTGATTGTAAAACTGATTTTAATTTAATATAGAGAATTGTTGCCTTTTTATTGTTATTTGTTGGTGCTTCAAATAGTCAATTTTTATGTGATATTCTTTGTGAACCAACTGTTGTCACTGTAAATGCCTGATACCACCTCATGGTATCATGAGGAGAGGACTCTTTGGGCAAAGACTGCTGTTGGAGTCTTGGAAAATTTTACCATTGTTGTCTTTCCCTTTTTGCAGCTACTTAATTTTATTTCTAGTCTCAATACTTCATGTGATACTCTTTTCTGTTGGTTATTTATTGTTTTAGTTTAGTATTGACTTTGAAAGTTAATCATTTAGTTGTTATCAAAGAGGAAATAGAGATACATTCCATTCCAATATTTTACCTGAAGTTTGGGGGAAAACCATCCATTTGGCTTAAGAGGGCTGGAAAATTGTCGTTTTCAAATATGAATTTGAATTACTTATTGTATTTTATAAAACTAACTTGTGCGCAATTGTGCTGCAAGTATCCTATTGAATGAAATGTATTAAGTATGAGGTTTCTGGTGAGAAACACCAGCCAATATCCTTCCAGTATTAGCATGTAAAACACAGCTGTGTACTTACCAATAACATTGAAAGCAGGACCTTTTACAACTATTTTTAAAGGACTTCTTTGAGATGTGAGTGCAATAATTTTTTGATTCATTGTTACTCAGATGACTGAATTCAGTATGGAAGAAAATTTTCAATTTTCCAGATGCAAAATCAGTGAAGAAACGTTGTAAAAATTTCTTCTTTAGTGCAAACAAGGGATCCAGATTTCCTCAGAGCATTGCTTTTATGAATATTTTTAAAACTTCTCATTAGTGCTGTGTTGTTTTGGTCAATTATTAAGAGTTGGCTTGAAGTTCCTTTTCTGTGTTGTTTGAACAAAAATGTACATATCTTCTGTTTGCTGATCATTATCATGTGTATTCATCACTTAAATTCAAATTATATGAATGTCTTTGACTTAGTTATAAATTTCTAATACCTATGTGCTTTAGTGTGCTTCTTGTTCTATCTCATACTAATTGGATGGAAAAATATTTCAGTTTGCTACACGCTTTAAGGTATCTCATTGGTCATCTGTATGTTGTTAACAATTTTTGTGATTATTATCACTTCTAGGAGAGTACAAAGAATGTTTGCTTTTGTTCATAATGGTTTTGGTCTTTGAGAAATTATCAGAGATTATCATCCTCCTTATCTCATGTTTGTTTGCCCTGGTTGATTGTACATCACCATGAGCTACTATCATAGCAATTAATTCAGTCAATTAAATGTTAAGGAAGCGGCTCCTTAGCCCAAGATTGTCTGATATATAAAAGTTAATTCTTTGTGTCCATCCTTCCTTATATGTATTAAGAAATACATGGATGTTTTAAAGTTACTTCTTGTCAGACTAGATTCTGGCATGGATTGATATCTTTAGTGATTGAAAGACAATAAGCTGGTAAATCCATAATAATTCATAAATATACAATAAGGATTTACCAGCGGTATCGTTCGATTGTGCTATTTTAAGTGGTTGTATTTATACTATTACACTGTGAAGCATTCTATGATTGCGAAGGGAGTCAACTTTTTCATGTACTGTATGTTCACTGAATGTTCCTTAAACCATACTGAAATATATCATTGTAAAAATTCTCAACGTTTCTTTCACTGGATATCCGACGTTGTGCCCTCTTTGGGGACACGCCGCAAAACGCCCCAAATTTGGTGTGCATAGTGGATGGCTGGGAAACTGGCGGGCAAACAGCGCTCCGCAAACAGTGTACAGTGTGTCGGAGGGCGGCCAGGCGGCCAGTCGAGGCGTCCTCAGTGTGAGTTTGCGCTCCACGCTTCGCCTCGCCTCGCCATGCCGGTGGCCTCGCGGGAGCGCGTCGGCCGCGCCCTGCAGGTGGTGCGCGAGTACGCGGGGCTGAGCTCGCTGCACGGCCTCCGCCAGACCGTCAAGGAGGGCTCGTCGCACAAGGAGAGGTAGTGTCCAGTGCACAGTGGGCCAGAAGGCCAGTGGAGGCGGACAAACTTCTAGACGCGTTTTGAGCTCCGGTGTCGCTAAATGGGACTTGAATCGAACGTGTGACTCCACCAATGGATAGCTCTCCGAACGAGGAATCCAGTGATGGGGTCACACGCTCGGTTCGAATCCAATGTAGCGACTCTTGGGCTCAAAACGCGTGTAGAGTTTTGGCTACCTCCACCGGTCTTCTGGCCCACTGTTTAGTGCGGCGGTTGGTTGCTCCGCTGGTTGGCTGACCCCAGCCCCGCTGTCCCAGGGTGTTCTGGCTGCTGCTGGTGGTCGGGCTGGGCGCCAACATGTGCGTGCTGTGCGCCCTGGTGGTCCTGGAGAACGCGACCGCCACCGAGACCGTGCTCACCAACAGCGCCACCAGCATCGCGGAGGAGCGATTCCCCTGCATCGCCATCTGCCCCTCGCACCAGATCGACAGGCTGGCCGGCATGCGCATCCTGAAGCAGTGAGTCATCGCCCCTGCCTCTCCTCCCTCATTCCACTCGCATCGCCCTCGGCATCGCCTCACCGTCGAACTGTCTCCCAGGGCCGTGGCCGACGCCAACAGGACGTACTCCTTCATGAGCGGGCTGAACCAAGAGGACTGGCAGATCTTCGCGCCCAACGAGACGTCTTGGCCGAGCGGGCCGGGCGGGCCGCGCGACTTCATCCTGGACGAGCACCTCGAGAAGGTCCTGGTGGACCTGCACCGCTTGACGGACCCCGGCATCTCCAGCGCCCTGCCCCTCTTCACGGAGACCGCCCACATGCTCATCGGGCTCAACAGCCTCAACCTGGTCGACTTCATGAAGCGCGTAGGCTAGCCCTGTCGGGCACTTCGCAGACTCTATTTCGTGGTCATTTCAGTCCGAGTAATGGCCTCAAAATAGTGACGCTGACACTCGTCTGCCTTCGAAACTCCCAAATTGAACCGATTTTCAAACTCAAAGTCTGCCACTTGACTGTTCAAGGTGTTTCCGTCGTGCCACACTTTCTTCCACTCCTGCCTCTGGAAGGGAATCCCCTTTGACTGCTGCAAGCACTTCAAGGTCCGGTCCACGGACCTGGGCTTCTGCTACTTCTTCAACAACAAGGAGGCAGACCGTATGGTGTGGTCTGTATTTCTCTTTTCTGCCTGCCCCTTTCAGCCTCTGAGAAAGCAGGCGAGCCTCGTTCCACTCCGTTCCACTCTGGTTGCAGCATGGAGTCGTTCCCCGAGAACGAGGAGCAGAGAGCGACCTGCCTGGGCGTGCACCAGAGGCTGTCGGTCTTCGGCCCGGGCTCCGGACTCAGGATGTACCTCAAGACGGAGAAGGACCCCACCACCGTGGCCGACAACGCCTTCCTCGCCACGCTGGCCAGGGTTAGAATCTGCCCCTTCTTTGCTTTGCCACTCCTAGTCCACCGCACTGGCCTTGGAAACCGCCCGCTGTGGTCCAGCCATCAATAGCAAGCCGCCCGGCAGGGCGCCTGTGAAGTCCGGGGTAGGCAACCCGCTGCACAGCCGCGCGCGCAGCGCCGAAGGTTGCCTACCGCCAGTTGGTCGGGCGCTAAGCGCACCGTGCCTACACCGTGTCGCCACTGAAGCAGGCAAAAATTCCCACGGTGGGCCAGTGACGAATAGGTTGACACCCTAAGCATGCCCACTCGAGATCGGGCCTTAGAAGTGGGAATTTTCGCGTGCTGATGTGGCGACACTGCCCGCACTGCTGAGATTGTCTTTTTTGAGGTGAGCGTGGACCGCAAGTGCGTGGCCACGTCCGTGTCCATGGACGCCACGGTGTACGGCGTGCCGGGCGCCGCGTACGTGCTGGCGCTGCGCGTGCGCCGCGTCAAGGTGGACAAACGCCTGGCCGAGCTGCGGCCCGCCGCCCGGAAGTGCCTCATGAGCCACGAGTGGCCCGGCGCCACGCCGCGCAACCGGAAGAACTTCCCCAAGGCCTACTCCAACCTGGACTGCATCGTGCAGTGCCGCCGCAACTACGTGCTCAACGCCTGCGGCTGTCTCGTCTACCCGCTCAGCCTGGGCGGTAGGTGCCAACATGGTTTCCAGCGTGTGTGTACCGTTCTCACCGCTTGCTCTGCCGCAGACCCCACCTCGGCGTGCGTGTTCTCCAAGATAGCCGACTGCGTCGCCAACGTCTCGGGTACGCAGTTGGCAGTGTAGCAGGCGTGCGTGTGCGGTGTTCGCCAACTCGCTGCTCTTCTTCTCCTCCTCCGCAGAGTCGTTCCGGTTCTTCCGTCCGCCGCGCGCCTCGCCCGGCTTCAGCGCCCAGGAGCAGGAGAAGGGGCTGTCGTGCGGAGACTGCCTGCCCAACTGCGACCGCACCACCTTCGACATCGACTTCCGGACGCCCGACCTGGCGCACGTGGAGCGCTTCAGCGACCCGGTGGCCCTGCTGGCCAACCGCACCCTGCTGGACGTGTTCTACCCCGAGCCCAACGCGGCGGAGCGCTACACCGTGGCCCCCGCCATGCCGTACGGCCAGATCCTGGGTACTCCACTGTCAAACATTCACCCCGCTCCCTTTCCGCCAACCCGGCACCCATTATTTTGTTGACTGTTAGTACTACGACGCCATAGCCTGCGCCACTGCTGACGTCACTTTTTGTGATTGCTTTTCATTTTCAGTGTCGATTGGAGCAATGGCCAACCTGTTCCTCGGCATCAGCTTCCTCACTCTGTTCGAGGTCCTCGTAACCCTGGTCAAGTGCATCTGGATTCTGTTTGGGGAGCCACGAGCAAGGAAATAATCCACACATTTGTTTTTATTTGTTTAAAAACATGTTTATTGCTAAAAGACATATTTTTTGAGGATAGATTCATTATACCTTTTCATTAGAGCATATGTTAGGGATCAATGGGTCCATACATATATATACATTGCCAGTGTACAAAACTGTACAAACATTTTTCTAGTTGATGTAGCTAAAACTTTCTATCACTTACAATGTATGCAATTCATTTATGAGCCAGAAAACACACTGGAAAGTGCAGATTTGAATTTTCTATACATACTTCACAACAAAGGTATGAAATAATTTAGAACAATATTTAAATAGAAACCGCATTAATTGGATATGGCATTGTGCTTTAAGGACAATTTGTTTAGTCACCACATTCTTTGCACTTTCAGAAGACCTTTGTAAATTCTTATAAACAGATGGAAATGGTCTGAAGAAAGGAGGGTAGGAAGGTAGCAAGGAAGGAAGGAAGGAAGGGACATTCAAACAACAATCTGACAAGATTTTTGTATGGGAAGAAAGTATAACGTTTGACTGACATGTAGGCATAATGGTCATTACATTACAGTATAGTTAGGTATGCAAAGTATCTGATATGAGTCTTCAAAGATTGTGTTTTGATATGTTCTTCCACTGCGAACGCTTGTTAGAACACTTGATCACATGCACGCTACAACTTAAATAATGCAGAAATACTTTGCTTAATGTGAACCTTAACCGAAGTACAAAAGGTCTTGGTAACATTGATTTCATTCGATGACCATAAAAATAGACTACCATTACTAAAATAAAAATATCATTATACCCTAATTTGTCTCCCTTCAATGGGGAGGTGACAAGATGAATGGCAATTTCTTTGACATCTAGAGAGGCAGAAATCGTTCGTTTCTCTTCAACATAGTCCCCAATTTTTGAATCATGCATGGAGGCTGAAACATGAGCAATATCACAAGCCAATTGCATTTGGATTTAGGAAAAGAAAATAGGAAAAAAAAAGAGTACAAAAAAAAACAACTAAAAAAAATACAAAAATCTAATAGAGTATGATTTTGTGCTAAGCGGAGAAATTTTATTCAATATGATACCATCAAGGTAGTGGAGAGTCAGATATGTTATAGAATTTTGTTTTGCTTTCGTAACAAAAGTTTAGCTAACATAGTTACAGAGAAAATTGACAGCAGAAAATAGACATCTAGGCATTCAGTTCAACCTGACTGTTGTGCACGTTCCATGACAAGATAACTCCTTGCTTTGAGGTGGTTATTAAACTTCATAGAGAAAACAACATTTTTATGTCCCACAAGGAACAATATAGCTACATTACACACTACCTTAAATTATTGAAAAGAAAAACAATCAAACAAATAGAAATCAGAGTAGTAAACTCAACAAAAACAGAAGGTCAGTCTGTGAACATGGACAGTGGATCATGTTCTTCGCTACAAAATTAATAGTCTAGGAAATAAGAGACGATATGTTACTTGTCATAAAACCAACTAAAAAACTATGCTCTGACAAAAAGAAACAAACGCAAATAAAACCTGTAAAAAACATGGAATTCAAGAATTGATATGCGGGCTAGAGCTTCCCCATTCCATTAAGAGATACACATGATTTAACATAATATCTTTAAAAAAAACAGTTTCATCTCATTGTCTTCAAAGTTAACAATCAAATTGGTAATTGACAATGCTCAACTCTCTTGTCTTTCCTTCAAAAAGGATCAGGAACTTTAAAATGCCCCAAATTATATCAGAATTTAATTTGGGAACACATCATGGATGGCAATACAGTGTACAACATGGAAATATAATACAATATCACATTTTTCTTCAAGTACACCATGAAACAAAATGTGTGTTAATGAGCAAAATATTAAACAGATGCAAAAAAGATAAATTAAATTTAAAAAAAAGTTAAAATAGTGATGAAAATGCAAAATAAAGGACTAAGGACCTTAATAAGCTCATACATAAAAAAAAGTCTTATCACAAATGCACCAACGTGCATGGCTTACCCATAAATGGATAATAAATGACACATAGTAAGGAAAAATGTCACACATGTGCCTCATGCGGCACATAATCGACTCACACACATAGCTCAGTCAACATTCATGGCACAATGGAAATAAGTTCAACAATAAAATTAAAAAGATAGAAATATTCACACTTTTGTTATTGAAATTTACCTAAACATGACACTTAGGGCTGGACTGCACAGGCGAATTCAGGAAGAGATTAGCTGAGAAATGTCATTGATTGCAATTTTAATTTGTTGACTGCTCTCTTTTATAGTTAGACTTTTCAAATTTAAATTGAATTGTTGCATTTCTCTTCCAATGATTGGCCTGTGCTGGACGGCAGCATTTTCTGATGTTGAAACAATCATACCTTCCAGTAATTGTGGCTCCTGTGAGTATTCTATTTGAAAACTAGTACATGGCATATTCCTTTTATATGTAGGATTGCAAGGGCTGTAAACTGGGAGTCCAAGAGTAGGCAGTTGGGCTGTGATGAAAATATTTGCTTTTACTGTTTAAAGACTAATGGACTGATATGCAATGATTCAGATTCAGAATGAGTCAATCCTCAACCAGAGACAAAGGGTAGAAGTTCTGAGGAAGATCCATCCTTCAGTCATTCTGATGGGGCTTTCCATAAATTTTAGCATGAACATGAAAGTTTATCATAGTACTTCAAAGTTTTTAAAATTGATATGCACAAAGGAAGTCTCATATCTCTTGAAACGACTAAGCCATCAAGAGGAATAGAGTACTCAAATACCCTGTTTTCCTGACACATTAATATGGCAGTGAATTGTATTCCAATGAATACCAATTTAACTTTTCTAAAACAAATTGCAAACAAAGTTAGAAATATTTGACTCCGTGACAGTCTGTAAACAGCAATTACAACCTACAGTATAATTAGAATTTGCCTCGTTTGTAAGACTCACATGAAAACAATTTACATGGGAAGGCATCAAAGAATGTGAAACAAACACTGATTTATGGCAGCATTTTAAAAAATATTTGTGCTGCCTGTCAGCCGGTACTAGCTTCCCACAAGCTCCATTTGTCGATACTTTTTTCTCATATTTGACACTGGATCTTTAAATAAGACAGGATCCAAACGCATGTTGGACCTCAACAAAGGCATGTAGCCAAAAACAGCAGCAAAGGTGTTGAGACAGGTTTGACGCTGAATGAAGTGATCAGGGTCATTCCAAGGAGATCTGAAACAAATTGAAATATGTTGGATAAGTTACAGTTAAATAAGACTATGCTGGATTATTGTTTACAATTGCTGCTTCATTTACAGACCTTGCTCCGCCTGCAGGCTGGTCCTTGTACTGTTTACGCTGAGTGACTTTTATAGGAGGTCGTCGAGTTACATGACTAACTAGAAAATTCATTAGAATATCTTCGCAGTTCTGCGACTGCTCAACAGTCTTATGGAGCAATGGGCTTAGCCAATGCCAATACAAATAATTATAATACCGATGGTAAAAAGCTGCACCAGTTAGTACCATTGAGTAGTCATTGGTCCATTTGGATGTATAGCCCCAAGAACCCTGTAAACAGAATGAAACAGAATGAAATAAAACTGGCTGAGAGATTGGGAGCACTGCAACGCACAGGTCGGTCGACTCACTTTGGCATCGTCCCAGTAGTGTGAGCGTGCTGGGTAGCCGATGATGCGGTCGGGGAACGACTTCCAGACTTGGAATGCGAAGTCCACCTCGTCCGTCGTGAGCAAAGTGTCCTCGTCCAGGGACAGCACGGCCGCCGTCTGGATCAAGGGGTGGGGGAAGAACCGCTGGGAGATACCCGCCCCGGCAGTCTTGGACCCGATCGTCCCTGCAAAGGCAAAGGAAGCGCAAAGTCAGGCAGGATCAACAACAGTACATTCATGTCCATTCAAAAATCTGCATTTTGGACGTGAATCAGTGTTTCGAAATAAACTTTCACCTGGCGTTGTTTGCGCCTGCGTCTGGAGCTGCAGCACGTTGAGGGGGACGTGGCCGGGCAAGGCGGGCCAGCGAGACCGCGGAGGGGGCGGCCGGTCGCCCGACCACAGCACCACGACCTGCACGGAAGGCAAGGGAAAGAAAGGAACCAGTTTAATTTCTCACTTCGGTATCGTTCGGTATGGCCCCCTGCCCCCTGCGGCCTGCACAGGCGAACCGTCACACGCCACGTCTCCACGCAAGAGAAATACCCTCATAAATAGAGCCATAAACGAATTTGGTGCATCATTTTGCCGGGCCCGAGCCTTGGTTTCCTCCTTTTGCATGTCTGAGCCGAAAAGACCCCATGACGACTGCCACAAGTTGAAATACCGGCGAAGCCATCCATTTTTCCAGTCCGTTGAACACGAACCGCCCTGCTCCGCTCCGGTCGACTCACCCTGGAGACGAACTGGCTGCGGCCGACGTTCCTCAGCAGCCTGGTGAGGGCCGGCGCGGGGGTGGGCACGGGCTGGGGGAGGCCGCCGGGCGAGCGCGCGGGCGGCGCCAGCTGGCCGGCGTACACCACGGCCGTGAAGCGGTCGCCCTCGCCGCCGCCGAGCGCCGCCGAGGCCGCCGGCGAGCACCACGCCGGAGCCCACGGCGCCGCCCAGGCGCTCCGAGTAGAAGGGGAAGCGGTTCCACGAGTCGGCGAAGCGCGGCAGCGTCACCAAGCCGCCCGGCATCACGTTCCAGGCCAGGCCGTCGCGCACCGGCTGCCAGGGGATGCGCTCGCGGATCATCTGGAAGGAGGCCAAGCAGAGGCACAGGGTTAGCGGACGGCGAGAAGACCGGTGGACGCGGTCAATCCCCGACGCGTTTTGAGCTCCAGAGTCGCCGAATGGGACTCGAAGCGAGCGTGTGACCCCACTAATGGATTGCTCTTCGAACGAGGAATCCATTGGTGGGGTCACACGCTCGGTTCGAGTTCTTTTTAGCGACTCTGCAGCTCAAAACGCGCGGCCGCTGGCTGGCCGGAAGTGCCAAGAAGGCGCGTTTTCATTGGTCATTTATTTTGGCGCCAAAAGTGGGAAATAAGCGGCCGCCACGTTTGGCCGCGTTAAAGCGGGCGCGCTGGCGCCATTTGAAAAAAGGCGGGAAGGCGCCTGGCTGGTTGGCCAGTGTCCCGCGGGAGCCCTGCCCGAGGCGGCCTGAGCGCCTTGAGGCCTTGAGGGACCGAGCAGGAAGCCGCTCGCGGAAATAATAAGAGAGGAACGAAAAATTACTTTAACAAGAGCGAGAGGGGAAAAGAATCCTGATAAAAGTTACCTCTAGCGTCGTGAAAACGATCTTCTCGATGGACGAGAAGTAGCGCTCCCACAGGATCTGCGTCTGCTGCCGCAGCGCCAACACCTTGGACGGCGGCACGGAGCGCACCAGCTCGGGGACCTGTCGGCACACCGGAGGGGACTTAGCAAAGCAAACAACAACAGTGTCACTTAATCAGTTCCTGGGAAAGAAAATTCGCAGCCTGGCTCGGCCTCCGGGCAAGCCTCCGGGCAAGCCTCCGGGCACCCGCTTACACTGCAAGTGCGCCAATCAAACTGGTTAAAAACTGCGAAACAACTGGCTGTCACGGGAATAATCCACCGCGGCGCAATGTCACCACCTCAACAGCCTCAAAACCTCTCCAAACTAACTTTCCGCTCGGCTCAAAAAAGTTTCCCCGGCACGCAAGTTGGCTCAGCTGCCCCGAAATCAACTGGCATTTCCCTCAACTACCACCTCCCCTCCTTTCCCCTTTTGCACGAGGCAGGGGATGGGGGGAGCTCATCCTCAATTGGCTTACGTGCTCAGGTACACGCAGCTCTGGCGGAGTGATTTTTTTCCGCCCACTTAGAGAAGTAGGCCATTTTTATTCCGCTGCCAGGACGCGTGTGGAGGCTGGCCTGGGCTGGCCCGGGCTGACCGTAGGGCCCTGCAGGGCTGCCCCTTCCCTTTTCTTGCAGGCCGTCCCATTTTTCAGCCGCCCTTCGCGAGACGGGCCGGCGCACCGAGACATACCCGCACCGAGACTCGAGACTAACAATGAGCCAGCCCGCGCCACTGAGCCGAAAGCCACGACAGGGCGCCCGAAAGCAACGCCCTTTATGAAGACCTTCGCGCTGATTGGCCAGCAAGCCAGCAATCATCGGTCCCTTCGCCACTTCCCCCTTTGGGAGGCGCGGACCCTTCGGGTCCTTGGGGCCCTTTTGGCCGGTCCCTAGGGCCGGGCCACTCGGGGCCACTCGGGGCCCTTTCACCACTGCCTCTTTCGCCCAGTGGTCTTATCATCTTATCACGGCACTCGTGTGAGAAGTCGTTAGCCGGGGGAATATTTCATTCCGAGCCGCCCCTGCCCGCCCAGCGACCGCCCAGCGGCAAGCATGCCTTTGCCCGCCAGATATTTTTTTTCTTGACAGTGGAACGCGAGCCGGCAGTTTTCGTTTCAATAAACAAGTAAGGGGCCGCCCGTAAACGCCGGCAGTTCAGCCAGGCCTGACTCGGACTCCGGAAGTGTGAGCTTTTCCGCGAACTTGCAATCAAATCAAACGCGTGTCACGCGAGGACTTACTGCCATGTTTTGACGATAACGGTGGGAGGAGGAGTGTGTGGAGAGGAGATTAAAATAAATATTCCAAAAAATGGCTGTGTTTTATTGCGCGACGAAAGCGTGGCGGACAGGCGGCGAGCGGTCCCGGGCGCCGCAAAAATAAATCTGTTGTGCGAAAACGAAATAAATGGCTGTAATTGCCGTGAGCAAATCCAATATCAGTCACTGGGCTGGCCGGGCAAGCCGGGCAAGCCGCGACTGTCAACCCCCCACCCCGCGAGGTCAGGCGGCCGGGCTACCGCATCCATGCAGCACGAGTCCGTTCACCCTTCAGGACCACGGCAGTCTTGTTGTGCTTGCCGCCCACCTCCATCGCCCAATGAACCGCGCAAAACGAGGGGGAAATTGTCTCGGCCATTGTTGAGACCGACCAGTGTAGGCGTGTGTGTGTGTATGTGTGGGGGGGATATGCGTGTGTGTGCGTGCGAAAATGAATGAGGGGCTCTGCTCTGCTCCGCCCGGCTCCCCTACAATGAGGCCGTGGGGACGCGGGGCCAGGCGGGTCTACGCAGGCCGGCCGTGTCCGAGGCGGGCGCGATAAATTTCTCTTTTAATCCCGCTGCCCTTTCATTTCCGGTGGCGAGACAGCGCGGCATTCAAAGGCACCTCAGCCGGCCAGCGTGCGCCGGCATGTGCCGGCAGGGCGTCAGCCAGGCAGGCCGTCGCCCCGCCCGCCCCCCTCGCACCCCCGCGGGGCCCCGCGAGTGCGCGAGAGAGACAGACGTTCCGCGTCACGCCCAGCAGCACACCTGCGGCCTGCGGACTCATTCCGCTCTGTCTCCCTCGCACTCATGGGGCGTCCCGTAGAGGTGCGAGAGAGACAGAGCGACGACTCGCGGAACCAGTCGGCTGCGGGGCGCGCGGGCCGACCGACCAAGCCAACAACGGCGGCCGCGTGCCGAAGCGTGTCGCGGCGTGACGTGGCGTGACGAGTGTGACGGCCGGACACGACCTGCCCCCTCCACTTCGCGTGACAGCTGACAATTATTGTGTTACTTCCTCGACCTCGCGGGGCAGGCCGGCAGGCCGGCTGCCGCCCCCTCCACTCGAAGCCTGGCTGGCCAAGCCCGCCCGGCCCTGCATGCCGTCATCCGCGACCCGTCAAACCAAATGAGCAAAGAGTCTAGCCGCGGGCAGCGGGCACAGCGGGCTCGCTCTACGACCTGTCGCTCTGTCTCGCTCGCACTCATGGGGCGTCCGGTGCGGTCCCGTGGAGGCACACCGTAGGACAGCCTCTCCGAACGCGAGTCGGACTCCAAGCCGAGGACATCCACGATGAATATAGACCGCGCCGCGCCCCTCCCCCACCCCGCGCGGAAGTACGGCGCTTATCGGCCGCGAGCGAGCGGCGCTGTTAACATATCACGCCGCTAAGTGACCCGGCGAGCCGCTAAGGGGCGCGGGGCGCAGCATGGCTACGCCACTGGCCGCGTCACTGTGCGCCGCCACGCATAGCCGCGGGGCACGCCACCTGCCACGCACGCACCGTCTCTCTCGCGCTCGCACGGGGCGCGAGTGCGACAGAGACACGCGGAGTCGGCCGGCAGGGTTGTGTAACCGCCCCTCCCTTCGCCGCTGCGACGCGCGCGCAGTGGGCCAGAAGACCGGTGGAGGCGGTCGAAATCCCGGACGGGGCTGGAGCTGAGCAAAACGCCGACACGCTCCGGGCGTGCCTCCCGACCCGACCGCGACCGTCCCTCCCCGGTTTGGTTCTGATACAGTGGCGGGTCTCTTGCGATGTTCCAGCCGCGGCAGCCGCGTGGGCGGGGAGGGCCGGGTGTCCGTGACATCTGCCGACCAAGGCAGCCAGCCCAGGCACCGCGTCGCCGCCGCTGAGGGCTGCGTAACTATCCGGGCGACCGATAGGGGGCGGGGCGAGCCGGAAGGGCGAAGCCACACTGTTAACCCGCGGTACAAGAACGGCGAACACCAAAGCAGAGCGAACCCCGCAACTGTGATGCAGCAGTAATAGCAGCCCGCAGACCACAGCCCGGCCGTCCGGCGAGCGGCCCTCCACTATGAAATGCAACTGGGAGCGGACCTTTGTCTCATCGGGCACCCCCAGACGCGGTGCACCACGCCCAAACATTGTCCTCGGATAGGATTGACGTTGCGATTGCTGAATTTCGGATTTGCCATTTTTGTAGCGCTTGGCGAGGGAGACGCGCAGCGCTTCGACACGGCCAGCGCGCGCAGCGTCAGCAACGAGTACCGGCAAATGATGCACCCGCCGGCGCGAGGGGGACGCCGGGATGAAGAAAGATAAGAATCACTTGATGAAAGTCCTGTGTGCGCGGCGTACACAAGGAGATTCAGCCGGCGGGATCACCCGGCCTGATCATGAGGATCAGCCTTCATCTCACGCCCGACGGGGAACCCCGCGCTGCCTGCCTGCCCGCCCGCCTTTATATTGCTCTCTCGGTGGGGCGTCTTTTTAAGGAAACCTCTCGTGCCGATTGTAAACACCGGTAGGTTGTAAACAAACCACATCCTTTAACAATGACATCAAGTTGTTACACATCCTACAGCCTCCCTGGCAACGTACGTATATATTTTTTTTTTGAACCGGAGGAAGACGACTCAACTTTTTCTGCCTGTGCAGGGTAAAGCAGCGGGTTCAAAAGGAGGCAGTCACCTGCATAAAAAAGATGAAAATAAACGCCGGGGCTGGTATTTGAACCCGCGTCCATCATCCCGGGGGGCCACGCACGCGCAGGGGGGGGGGGGGGCCCGGCGGGCGGCGCACACCAACTTGCCGGAGCTTTAAATCTCTCCCGGAGCACCTGTGTACGGAAACTCGGCAAACTTATTCCAAACTTACTAGCAGAGAATTTCCATTGGCGAGTCAAGACAGAGGGACCCGCTGCGAGGCTAGCCATTCATCGCGCCGCATCGCCGTGTTTTACCCAACTTGCAGCAGCCGGATATATTTTACCGTGTACCGGCAGTATAAACTAGGGCAGGGCGTCGAAGGCGCCTAAAAAGGGAGGAGAGAGAGAGAGAGAGAGAGAGAGAGAGAGAGAGAGAGAGAGAGAGAGAGAGAGAGAGAGAGAGAGAGAGAGAGAGAGAGAGAGAGAGAGAGAGAGAGAGAAAGAGAGAGAGAGAGAGAGAGCGCGCCTCGCCCTGACCGCGACAATACGCGGTGGCGCCACCTGTTGCTGGCTTGGCCGGGCGAGTCGTTTGTCCGATTCCCTGCCCCAGTCACTGGGGATGTCATCTGGAGAGTCCGACTGGCCGACGTACTTGGTGGCGCCGATGGCGGCCGTAAACCGCTACACCGATAAAACGGTCCGCGGCCACTCCGCGCGGCCCTTAAAAGATGATCCAGGTAAGTCCAGAGAGCTTGGCGCGCTCCGCTGCTGCAACACTACCCGAAAAACGGGAACGCAGCACAGTGCGCCAGAAGGCCGTTGGAGGAGGCCAAAACTCCAGACGCGTTTCGAGCCCCAGAGACGCTAAACAGGACTCGAACCGAACGTGTGACCCTCCCAACGGATTCCTCGTTCGGAGAGCAATCCATTGGTGGGGTCACACGTTCGGTTCGAGTCCCATTTAGCGACTCTGGAGCTCAAAACGCGTCCGGGAGTTTGACCGCCTCCGCCGGTCTTCTGGCCCACTGTGCGCATTGGCCGCATGATAATCATGCAGCTCGTGGAAGTTTTTTTTGCCCCCCTCCTCCACCTCTTCGCCGAGGCGACGAGTCTCGAACTCGGCAAATAATACGTCGTTTTCTGCGCCCTCGCGAGCAGTGGTCTGCGGCTTGCGTAAGAGCTTCCCGTAGTCTGTCTTGCGGTGCTGCGAGTCAACTGCAGCGGAGAACGCGGCGAACAAGCCAACTCCTCGGTCGGTCCGACTCGACTCCCTTCCCTTGTAGCGAGAATAGGATAAGTTAGAGCAGAGCCCCACACAAACGCAGAGGCACACACAGCCGCCCCCGCCGCCAGCACTGCCAAATTACCTCACCCATCAGCACACCGAGCCCTTCCCACCAGAAACCATCATTGTCCAAGTCAACAGCGCCATTCACACTCGCTTAAAACAAACACACGAAAAAGAAGCGAGCGACATTTTAAACCCCAAGTAGCTGTCATCTAAATGCGACCTCGTCCACTGACCTGCAGCAGCAGCCGCTCGTCGGCCCAGACGACGGCGCGGTTCCAGTCCACCACGTCGCCGAAGGGCAGCACCCAGCTGTTGGACAGCAGCACGGGCACGCAGCCGGCCTGCAGGGCCTCCAGGAAGCGGAAGGAGCCGAGGCGGCGGCCGCGCGGCACCAGGCAGAAGGTGGCGTTCTGCAGCAGCACCTCGTAGTCGTATCTGCAACAAGGAGACAACCACGGCGTGAGTGAGACACTGTCAGAACAATGTTATGAAAGATGACTTTAACAACGTCGACTCGAACCGAGCGTGCGTGACCCCACCAATGGATTCCTCGTCCGGAGAGCAATCCATTGGTGGGGTCACACGTTCGGTTCGAGTCCCATTCAGCGACTCTGGAGCTCAAAACGCGTCTGGGATTTTGACCGCCTGCACCGGTCTCCTGGCACACTGTGCAGTGTAAACATTCCAAAAGCCATCGAGTGCGGCGACACTGCGATGCGGCCGCGAAGCGCGAAGCAGCGCGGACGCCGCGGACCCTACTCAGACCTGCGGCCTGCGGGGGCTTTAGGTTCCACACAATCGGTCCGACGATAACAATGGCCGTGGCGGGGCGGGGCGGGGCCGGGCGGTCCTTGGGCATTACGTAAATGGTTCCATAACTGGCGCCGGCCAACTGATTCACAATACGGCCAGAAGGGATGGGGTGGGACGCCTCGCCCTGCCTCGCCTAGCCAGCGGCTGCCTGCAAGGGTCCTCGGTTTAATAACCCCAGCAGCCGGCACGGCACCGTAAAGATGCTGCAGTCGTCCCTCGCGCCATGCATCACGTTCTCGAGGAAGTTATTCAAATTCAAGAAGTTTTGGGGTGGGGGTCGCTCTCGGCGCTTACGTGTCTGCGGGCCACTTGTCCACGACGGCGTGCAGCAGCGGGCCGAGCAGCGGCCGAGCATTGCAATCAGAGCCGAGAAAGGGCGAGCCGAGCCAAGCGAGCCAAGCCGGCCGGCCTGCTTTGCAAATCAATTGAATAAACAACGGGGGAAGAATTAATCCCGAGGAAAACAAAAAACCGAATTCCCGCGCGGCATGGCCACGCCCCGAAAAAAACAAAAGCCTAACGAAACGGCCAAACTCCGTCGATACACATTTTTAATTTTTCCTAAAATCCAAAACAAGAAATGCCATTTTTTTGCGGTCGTTTTTTAATGAGAAAATTAGCGGCAGTCGTTTCCGTCCACCGTATTCTGCACAATTATTTCCCGCCGTTTTCTTCTTCTTCTTCTTCGGCGTTTATGTGCCAAGTAACGGCCGTGGTTTTCTTCACCCTTTCTTCGCCTCGCGGCTCATCAGCGACTGGCTCGGCACGGCTCGGCTCGGCTCGGCTCCCATTTCGCAGCCATTTCCACGGCGCGGTCCGCTCTGCTCGCTCTGCTCCGCAATTTCCCCGACACTACGTGTGCTTATGGAAATGCAGGTAAGCCTCGGACAGAGGCCGCGGCCGCAGGCGAGCGGGGGCGGCACGGCGGCAGAAGCTCTTTCACTTAACCATTAATTGAATCTGAATCGCAATAAGGACCCGATGCCTGGACTTGGCGGCGCTGCACTGCCCCTTTAATCGAGGCAGCCCGGCCAGCCCAGCCCGCGGGCCGTGCAGGCTGGCTAGTGTAGGTCCCGGCCGTCCCGGCGGCCGGCAGACGGTTAATTGAAACCAGCAACGACGGGGCAGTGGCGACGCGGCGAGGCCGGAACGTTCGGACAGTCGGGGGAAGCCGCGCGGGGGAAGGACAGAGCGCCACGCGGCCCTCCGGCCTTCTGGCCCACCGTGCAACGCCAAGCCGCGAGTTTTCGAATTTTCGCTCCTCTGCGGCCACGGTGGGCCAGCGACGCCGCGACGCCAGCGTGACAAAGACGCCTCGCCGTCCCCGGGACTTGGCGCCTCTGGTGCGCCGCCATTAAAAGAAGGGCTGCGCTCATTTCTTGCATGAGTTACCTCCTTGGCGCTTACAGCCCCGCGGCCAGGGCGACGCCAGGGCGATGCCGAACGGCCGTCTCTCTCTCTCTCTCTCTCTCTCTCTCTCTCTCTCTCTCTCTCTCTCTCTCTCTCTCTCTCGCACGCCCTCACGGGACGCCCCGAGAGTGCGAGAGAGACAGAGCGGCCGGAGCCAAAAATGGCGAGAAACTGGTCCACGTCGCTCGGGGGCGGCGGCGGCCACGCAGACTCGGTCGCTCTGTCTCTCTCACGCTCATGGGGCGTCCCGTGTGGGTGCGAGAGAGAGAGAGAGCGACTCTCGGAATCGGCCCGCCGGCCCGGGCCCGGCCAGCTCGGCGTTGTTTCCCTCTGCTGCTGATCTTCCTTCCCACTCCCCTCGCTCCTTCTTCGCACAATCAAAATGCAAATTCGGCGCCACAGCCGCGGCGTGCGCGCCAACACCGAGCGCAAACACCGAATCCTGCAGGCCTGCGCGTCTGGTCAGAAGTCGGGGCGTCCCGACGGCGTCCCGACGACGTCCTGGTGGCCGACGAGGAATTGCTTCCCGGGAGACTAATGGAGCCGTGATAGGCCACAGTGTGGCGTCGCAGGACTGGCCGGTGGAAGGGGTGGGGGCGGCCGGTGCACAGTGGGCCAGAAGACCGGCGGAGGCGGCCGAAACTCTAGACGCGTTTTGAGCTCCAGAGTCGCTAAATGGGACTCGAACCGGACGTGCGACCCCACCAATGGACTGCTCTCCGAACGAGGAATACATTGGTGGGGTCACACGTTCGATTCGAGTCGTGTTGGCCACACTGGAGCTCACAACACGTCGAGAGTTTTGGCCACCTCGTCTGGCCCACTGCGGGCCCGTGCTTTTCGGCCCCGGAGTGGAATAATTCAATTGCTAAGACCCCGCCCGATAGCCGCAGCCAGCCGGGCAGGCCCGTGTATCGCCATAAACACCCATACCCGCGACCGGTCCGCCCAGCCCGGCCGACCAGGCCCGACCAGGCCCGGGACAAGACGAATGGGGCCTCCAGCGCCTGCAGGGTGGCACTCCGTTACACCCCCGCGCCGTCTTGCTGGAGGGGGGGGGGGAGGATGGCCCGTTGCAGCCCACGCTCTGTGATTTACAGATTTGCATGTGGGAACACACAAGTAGCAGTGTGTATGCGGCGCGGTATAGGCTCCCGTGGTTTACTACCGTGCCGCGCGGGGTGGGGGGTGGGCGGGGCAGCGGGAGGGAGAGAGACAGAGCGAGGGCGGGGCAGGGCGGGGGCAAGGGACACAAGAGTAGTTCGTAGATGCAACCATTCCTTCCCGCGCGCTTATCGGCGAACGCGGGCCGGGCGCTAAGTCGCCCCGGGCGGAATGGATATAGCGAACGTGTTCACGCGACAACCGTCACCGGCATGCACTGCCGAGCGAGGGAGAGAGAGAGAGAGAGAGATTCGCCAAGATTGAATACGATTAAAGGGGCACAAATAAAATGTCCCTTTTCGGCGATTTGCCGGCGTTCCGTGGGGGGCGGGAGTTGGGGGGGGGGGGGGGGGGGCGCGGCTCGGACACGCGACGCGCATGCAAATTTCTCTGACCGACGAACTCACCGACCTTTCCTTTTTTCAGGAGCGAGCGAGCGAGCGGGAGAGCGAGTTAGAGCGAGAGAGAAAGAGAGAGATTAACGTCGAAAATGAATACAACGTCAAAGTAGAAAAAAAAGTCATTAAAAAAACGCGGGGGAAAAGAGTGCGCGGGTGGGAAGTGGTCAAACAAAATAGCCTGGGCCTTAGTGACCTCAAACGGGTGAAAGAGAGAAGGGGGGGGGGGCGCCTGCGGCGATCATGCCAGCATTAGCCGGGCACCGTCACCGCGACGGAGACAGCAAGACAGCGGCTAGACGGTCGTGGCACTCGTCGGGGACGCCACGTGCGTGACCCGTCAGAGATTCCACGGCCCGACTCGACCCGACTGCATCGACAGGGACTCAGTCCCCCGTCGCTCTGTCTCTCTCGCACTTACAGGGGGGCGAGAGAGACGAAAGCAATGTTCGGAATAAGCGAGCAGTGAGGGCCACTAAAGGAATTTTTGCTCTTTCCTCTGTTGGTGGAATTCATTTTCGAGTTCGATTCTCACTCACGCCACGGCACACTCCTCAGCCGGTGCCCTTAAGAAGGCTTGTTCCGACCGGCGGCAAAAATTTCTAAATAATAGCCAGGCTTGGCTCGGGCCGGAACCGGGTCGGCTTTTTGTCACTCGATGGCAATAGAGATGCAGGGCGTTGTTGTGCTGCCAGGTAGGCGAGGCAGCGAGGCAGCGAGGCCCCTGGCGGCGCGCCGCCGCGGCGGGCTGACCCAGTAAAACACCGTCGTTTTTAGTAGCCCCCACCAGCAGGCAGGCAGGCAGGCAGGCAGGCAGGCAGGCAGGGCCTCGGGGCTTGACCTGCCCCACTAAGGAGCGAGGGCTGTCGTGCCGCCAGTCAAGCAGCCAGCCCGCCAGCCAGCCGCCAGCCAATCCGACACACAAAGGCAACTTGAGCAAGTCCCCCAGAGCACACACTCACGACACACAGCACACGCTTCCGCGACGCACTCACCAATACATCAGCCGCCTCGCAGTGGGCCAGAAGACCGGTGGAGGCGGCCAAAACTCTAGACGCGTTTTGAGCTCCAGAGTCGCTAAACAGGCCTCGAACCGGGCGTGTGACCCCACCAATGGATTCCTTATTCGGAGAGCAATCCATTGGTGGGGTCACACGTTCGGTTCGAGTCCTGTTTAGCGACTGTGATGCTCAAAACGCGCCCAGAGTCTTAGCCCGCCGGTGTGGGCGCACTGTGGGGAGGGCTGACGGACGGAAGGACGGGCCTTTTTTTCGGAGGCGGCCCTCGGAACAACGGCTTACTCTCCAGGCGCGCCGAGAGATGCAAAAGTCAAAGTCATGGAGCAAGGCTCGGCGAGGCGAGGCGAAGCGAGGCGGCCCGAGCGGCCGGGTGTTAGGACTCAAGTTAGTTCTAAGCCAACAAGGGCTGCAGAGCAGGGGCACTGCAAGGCTCTGTATCGACAGGACAAACAGCGCCGAAAAGCGCGCCAAAAGTCCGAAAGCCCGATTCGGATAATAACTCTGGGCAGAGATGGGCCGGGGCGGCGGGGCACTGCCAAGGGGGTCCAGGGATGCAGAGAGGAGACGCGGCGAAGGGCCGTCGGGAAGCATCGCCCTCGCAGCGCCCTTTGAAGCGGAAATGGAGAACGGT